TGCACAAAAGCAAAAGAGAGCAGAATGGTTTAACTCGCTCAATTCTGCACAAAACAAAAAAGAGCAGAATGGTATAAGTCATTGAATCCTGAAGAAATAGAAAAAATTTGGTCTAGCAGAGCAGAATGGTATAAAACACTGGATCCTGCAGGCAAAGATAAGATTATATGACCAGTCCAAGCGAATAAGGAAGCCCATAGAAACTCATTTCAACATGATTTAGATCATAAGATCACAGCTTTTCAAAGTAAGATTAGGGAAGGTTCGTATTATATTTGCTCTGTTTGCAACTGAATACTATACAGAAAAACAAATGTACAGCACACAGCAAGAACTATTTACTGAGTTGCATACCCATGATTCCTTTCCGTCTTGGAGTGACCTATCACCTATTGCCTGATGACAACTGAGACAACTCACTATTTCAGTATACTAGTCCGACACCCGTAGTATCACTACACTTGATCCCAAGGATCCAGTACCATCCAGGTATCCCAGTTACCCTTGCGAACTGAATTCCCAGTTTTCTTGGAATTCCTAGGAATTCCTAGGAATTCTCAAAAATTCCCAACTATGCAAATTAGCTCTGATTTAAAAAGCTTGGAATTGCTGGGAATTTCTGAGAAAGGAAGACTCCAGTTTTGTGAGGAATTGGAATTCCTAGGAATTCTCAGCTATACAAACTACTTATAATTTAAGAAGGGTGGAATTCTTGGAAATTTCTGGGAATTGAATTTGAGGCAATTTAAATACCCTGAGGTCCACATAAACTCTAAGAAATTCTTAATATCTTGAATGTGAAGGTTTTAAGAAAAGGAGTAATTTCAGAGGCTTAAAACTTTGGCTCAATAAAAGGTATGCTATACAAAACTTACCAAGAGATAAACATACATGTATATGTTTATAACTTAAAGATCATGAAATTTATAATTCAAACTAAGTTTTAGTAAATCTCTACATTAATATGGATTTTCTTATGAACCAGCAGTCAATTATGTTAAATGGAAATTGCCAATTAATCCAATGTACTCATATCACAGATTTGCTTTCTAACCTCAAAGGACTCTTGGATTCCATGATCATAAAATATTTTTATTGTGATGCAAATTAATGTCTCATGTTCACTGATGTGCCAAAATCATCAAACATTCATTAGCTGTTCCTTGGTACGCAACTTCCACAATTATTAACAATAATTACATTGTATCTAAACTTAAGAAAGTTTGTTAGTTATGAACATAAGTTACTTCCCTAACCTACATTACTGGTTGCCTTTGTTAGAAAACCTTGGAACAGTCAAGCTCAGTTGCCTCAAACACTGTCAGAGACTTTTTGTTGACATTATTTTTAAGTAGAAATTTCATGCCTTAGACAAACAAATTCAACACCTAATTAATCTTTCTTTTTTCATGATTGTTGTTGCTGTTTTTTTTTCAGTTTTTTTGCTCTATTTTCATGACTAATTGCTGTAATTTGTTTTGCTGTTTTTATTCTTACAAAACATTTCTGTAAGAGTTCCAATACTTGTGGATCATCCACACACTTTGCAAACATTTGGCATGCAGACAAGACAGAGGTAGTCAATGTTCCCTTTGAGAAAAAACACCTTTTAAATGACATCTTCAAATGACTTTATTTGAAACTCTGATCTGAAAATATTTGTCAACAAGACTTGTTGGTAGTGAGAAGTACAAACCAAGTTTCCTTTCATAACTTAATTTCTTAAACGTCCAAATCACTGAATCTCCCAAAAAATATTACATCTTTTTATTTTTGGTGCAAAATACAAGTCCTTCTTTATATACAAATGAAAAGTGCAAGTCACACTTCAATAATAACAGCTCTAAAGTTTACTTGTTGTTCTTCTCTGTCTGTCAGCTATCAACAAAATTGTTTTAAACTTCGGACAGTGCATAACTATTTGTGGAACAGAGTTCCAACGCACCTCTGTAATCGCATATAGTTACTTCTGTGTCTTGTACAAATGTTTCTCCTTTGTAAGACGCACTCTGCTCTGTTGTCACCACTGCTTTAAGTTCAGTGGAAACGACTGACTAAGGAATCGTGTTGCTGAACGCTTGCTACGGTTTAGCTTTGTAGATTTAGGTACTGGTACACTGGGATCATCTATTTATCTCTTATACTTCCTGATGTGGTATCCTTCTTTTATAAATATGAGGGTAAAAGACGATTTGTAGTCGCATTCAAAACTGTGATTGACTTGTGTTATTTCTCACCTTTGCCATGAACACAACTCAAGTGAGTTTCGAGTCTTTGTTTCCTCGACAACTTTCGGCCACAAATCGTGCATTTGTAGTACGATCGATTCTTGTCGATTATTTCTACATAGAGTGAGCTCACATCATTATCTATATCACCAAGGTATCCATCGTCTAGAAGCAGAGAACTGGTCGGAGAAGTCAGAATAAAGTTGTGCGCTTCTCTTAACACTTGCAATCGGCACCCAGCGGATTCACTTTGCTAGCCAATGACAAGTCCTAAAAGATCCACGTGATCATGCTCGTTATAGGAATCAAAGAAGACTCCATTTGGCGCTCATCTTTGAATGTACTTTTCATCGGTTGATCGCTTTTCTCGACTGTTTTGCTTAATATAACATTTCTATAGATAGCTTTTATTGTGGTTCAATGGGAAAACGAGAACAGTGTGAGTGTTGTAAAAGAAAAGAAAGTCGTTGGCGCCGTGGAGTTAAAAGAAGGGACAACAGTTGATTTGTTGACTGGTACAAACAAGGGTCGAGTGGCCATCTGTAAAGCTATGATTTTGAAAGTTTGTGGTGAGTAAAAATTGCGATATTCGTTACGTGATCAAAATCTTATAAAAGAATAGATGTAACGGGTTGAATTAAGCTTACATAACGCTCGGTGCAGCTGAAACTAGAATAATTCAGGGAATCGAATCGGTCACTAATGCATGCCGCAGTTTCTTAAGCTTATGCTTTACGATGAAATAAATCTATCAGTAAGGTTTCAAGATTCCTTTAGTCACGTTTGGGAACATTCAAGATTCATAATAGGAACTGTTATTAAACAAATCTTATTATGTAAAGAAGCCCTCCTTGGTAAAAACAAAATAATGTATTCAGCCCTTTTTGTAAAATCTATGGGAGAGATGTACTAACTCCAATATCAAGGTCACTCAATATGACAGAGATTTCTCAATTTGAGAATCCAATGAATGTCCTTTTCCTTAAAGCCATCTTAAAGGCCTGGTCTGAGCTTTAAATATATATATATATATAATTTTTTTTCAAATTCAGATGTCATGGAATCCAGATACAAAATGGTCAAGCTTCTTGTAGACAACCTCATTCAAGGCCAACTCATTGTGAGCCCAGGGAAAAAAATACAAACAGCAGCTAAGTTTGCAGTTTAGGATAACTTCATTCTAATTTATTGTTACAGGTACCACAAGATTTTAATTAAAAAAATCAATTTTATTTATCTGTAATTTACCCTTTCACTCCCAAGAGTGCTTGGTTTTCAAATTTAATTTAAGATATAGTATTTTATGGAAAAGAATCAACAGATTTTATTCACAATTTGTGTCAATCCAAATTTAATGATTGATTAGGACTATTTTATATGAATAGCTGTAATTGAGGATTAATCCATATGAAGTTTTCAAGAAAAGAGAAATATATAAAATTCCATCCTAATATTACCACATGTTGATGTTAATAATTAATCAAAAATATTTTACATGTAGGCCTTAATTAAGCTTGTAAATAAATTTCATTGAATACTTGAATTTTAGCTGGGTTTTTTTAATTTAAAGTATTTATTTTATATCATTAGCCTCAAATTTTTGCTTGAAATTCCCAGTAATTCTTAAACATTCCTAAAAATTCCTGAAAATTCCCAGAAATTCCTAGGAATTTTTTAGATTTACAGCTTTTCAGGGAAAGTCATTGGTTCTCTGAGTTGGAATTCCTAGGAATTCCAAGTCCTGTTGGCTATAAACTTGGAATTTCTGGGAATTTCTAGGAATTTCTAGGTTTTTAGGACCAGAGTTGTTATTGTTGGGAATTCCTATGAATTCCTAGGAATTCCCAGTCCGAAGTTACCGTGAAAATTCACACCTTTATTCCTAGGAATACCAAAATCCATTTCGCAAGGGTACCCTGCTCACATGGTCTAGTTTCATTATTTCATGCTTAAATTATATCTAATCTACACTCATGTATTGACCAATGAGGGCACACATGGTATCTATTCAACTATTTTGTAAATAATTGGTAATGTTCATTTTGTCAGGCATGCATAAATTGCAATGTGTGATTGGTGATTGATGCAGGGCAGATGTATCTACAGGCAGCAATCAGTCAGTTGGTGTTAGTACTTCAGTACAAATACAATAGAAACAACCCCTGGGTTTACAAAACCTATCAGTGCTACAGAAAGGTTGATTTACTATCTTAGTGGAACTCAGAAAACCATTAACACTGGAGATATTTATGAGATTTCATTGAACAAACCAATCAGGCTTGGGAAAACAAACAGTAACTTAAGGATAAATTAATTTGTGGTTTCATAACATTCCTCATTTGCACTGTGATTGGTCTTTATAAAACAAACATTTCACACATATTTCAGGTGTTCATGGTTTTCTGAGGTTGCAAGAAAATTTTCTGTGATACAGAAAGGAAATTTAACATTTAATAGGATATGATGTGTAAATTGCAGTCTACTGCTTTTACAAAATAACCTTCCAATTTCTATGGTTAACTACCAGTGCAATAAACAACAGGTTTTTGACCAATCAGGGTGCTTGTAGAAGCTCTGCTATTTTATTGTATTACTTAGTATAACACAGTTTCGTAATTAAAAGGACACTTACGACAGAGTGGTGGCAAATTTGGAATTGATGCAAAGACTAGGGTTCCACTTTGGTGCTAAGATTGTTCATAGAGCATACACGACAATGGAGAGGAATCGAGCAGCTGATATGGGTTATGATGACCCAATACATACATGACAATGGAGAGGAATCAAGCAGCTGATATGGGTTATGATGACCCAATACATAACAGCTACGAGGATACTTGTAGAATGTATGATCAGGTAGCAGACACTTTGTTACACTTGGCAAGTCGGACTCCAGGAGAAGTCATGATAGCCTCTCATAATGAAGATCAGTCAAACTTGTTGTTCAAAGGTATTTTTGAAAAGTGTATAATTTTATGCTACTCATTAAAAATGAGGTGTTCAAGAGCTCTCATGAACAGTGATAACATATTTGCTGAAAATTCACCTCTGAGCCTTATTTGAAGTAAATTTTCGTGAATCTTTGTCACTACCTTGACATTTTAATGTAGATATTGTTTTGATCTCAATGTGTTGGGAATGCTTTCCTCCTAATATTGACCAGTGTGCCACACAATGAAATTGGGTATTCCAACTTGCAGCATGCATGCATGCATGCAACATGCAAATGCAGCATGTTGGTATCTTCTCAACATAAGAGACTGTACGATAGCTAGAGAGAGGATAAGGAATTTAACATGGCAAGTAAGAGAATAGTGAAGATGATAATGACTTAATGAGAACATCGACAGTGGCAATGATACTGGTTGTTGAGAGGCTCCCTAGCCCTCATGATGGTAATCCACAATGAGTAATATGCAATTAAAAAGAATTGCAACACTGCAAGTAAATTTGTGTACACATCAGCCTCGACCAGAAGCTATTTAATTTGATAACATATTCTTTGCTGATATAATATAACATATATCAAAATTTTGGAACAGAATGAAAGAACTTGGCATTGCACAGGATGCAGGGAAGATTTCATTTGGTCAACTGAATGGGATGTGTGACCAGGTCTCTTTCTTATTAGGTGAGGGGCATACAGTGATAGACAAGTTATAAAGCCATCTAAGAAAAGTCTGTTGAACCAAAGTTTAATGCTTGGGATATGCAACAGTGTCAAAAACATTTAGGTTTATCATTGCAAAATCTGAATTTTTGTTGATTTAATGTGATAGGAGAAAAGAGTGTGTCAAGCTAATTCCTAGTCAAAGGCTGGGTTAAATCACCTTCTGTGAAGTGCTGCCATTGTTACCAATGCTTTCCTGGGTCTGCAAGGCAACCTCTTGGCCTTAATCAAGTAAACAAATAAATAAGGGAACAAAACCCTTTAAACTGAGGTGAAAATAAATCTAAGAGTGCAAGATTGCAAAAATCAAAATGGATTTAAATCAGGAATACCTGTCATAAATGATGAAATAAAGTCAGAGTTCATGTGGGGATGCATTGCTGTATATTATGAAAAGAGGCCTTTCCTCCTGCACAAGGGGTGGAAGGTCTGTCAAATTCAAGAGCAATTTTCCATCCATGTTTAATTTAAAAACTCCAGTTTAATTTCTCCTTTACTACTACAGGGCAGAAAGGCTTCAATGTGTACAAGTCAGTACCTTATGGCCCTGTGGGTGAAGCACTTGCTTATCTTGAGCACAGAGCCACTGAGAATGGAGTTGTTATCAAAAGAACAGAGGAGAGATCTCTCTCATAGCAAGAGTTCAGAAGAAGAATCACATCTCTAGCTCATTAATGTGAATAACACCATCTTCTGACTAATTTCAAAAATTTCTTTCCTTGGCATAGTTGTCTTTTTAAGGTAGTGAGGAATAATCAACATATACTATTAGTGAATGAGCCAAAAGTTGGAGAGGAAATATAAAAAAAATAGCATAGCTGCACAGTTTTGGTATTACCAACAATAATCAGCTGTGGTTTATTTGCTACTTTGTAAAGCACTCTCAAGGGTTTGAATCCATGATGCAGACAAAATCATAACTGACAGGAATTTCATGTTACTCAAGAATACAGTTTATACTTGGTCTTTTCTGACTTCAAATAGCTCTATATATGTAACTTAGAGAAAACATTTATGGAGAAATAAACTTGCATTTGCTGAAAAACTTCCATTCATAGCTAGATGTTTTTAGTATATCTAAAGATTCCAAAGAAATTGCACCACACCCTTAGCTGCAAGCAATGCTTCTCTAAACATATGTTGAGAATACTTCTACTCCAATTGAGTAATGGGTGGTGAAATATCCCACTGGAGTTCCACTTTTAGGCCAATATGCTTTTCACTTCAAATCAAGAAGTGTTAACTGAATTCATGACCTTTCCTACTGTCATGAGGCTTTTCAATGTTTTTCGAAAGGTGGTCAGCTGTAATTCATGCTTAAAATTTAAAATAGGTTTTGAATTTACTTGCTCAAGAACTTCATTCAGGGCTACTTTTTTAATAGATTGCATCTCATTGCAGGTTAAAATTAAAGGAATCTGCATTAAAACAACTGAGATTCATGCCAAGATACAAAGACTTACATTTATACTAGGCTAGCTTAATTGTATTTTGAACATTCTGGCTTGGCAAGACACTCAAACTCCCATCCATTTAAGAGTTTAACCATTTAATTCTTTTGAGTGACCAAAACAGAGTTTCCCCTTGCAAAATATCAATACAATATCAGGCAGACAAGTGATGAGAATAAAAAAAATATATATTAAATTGTGGATTATAAGTTGATCAAATACCAAATTCTCAAAATTAACATCACAAGAACTGTATGGCAGACAGTGAGGAGAATTTCTAATGAGATCTTGGGAGTTAAAGGGTTGAATGGGTAGTTAATGCAAGTGCCTGATATAACTGTATGGTACAGCTGATGAAACAAATTGTATAGAAATGGTACTGCTTGTGTCACACAAGTAAAATGTATTAAGGGGACAATCATTTAAAAATGAGTTTTCCCTTATAGCTTTCATAATAGTTAAGCTTTAGAACAAATTAATCATTGTACATAGTGTGTGGTTTTATAAAAATCAGAGCCACAAAAAGAACAGATTATTAAATATTGAGAGCTTGATATTGTTTTAAGTCACATGTTACAATTTGTTTTGTGAACTCCCTAAAGACCTGTTTGTTCATGAATATGGGATTAAAACCTTGTGAATAAAACAAACATAATGCTCTCAAGAAATGATAATCTTTATTTAATCATTAAAGTATTTAAAAAGATGAGGGTTTGAGGGAAATTATTTTCACATGGGAAAGAATAATGTAATTATACATCATGGATCCATTAATTTAAAGTGAATGTAAATAAACAATTTTATAACATCCTATGCCTGGCACTGTACTATTTCTAACTACTACTGACAACAAGAAAATTGCTGTCCCTGGTTTTACAGAGGCAAACACACAGAGAGGTTTATCTACTTGCAAGGGCGAACTCAAACAACTCAAATTGGTTCTCATATTTCTGAAAGGTTAGATTCTACCTGTGGAGTGCCTCAGGGTTCTGTTCTATAGGCCCACTGCTTTTTTTTCTTATATATCAATGACATACAGGAATCATCAGATAAGCTTAATTTTTACCTTTTTGCAGATGATACAAATATCCTTTTTGCTGATAAAAATCTGAAATCATTGGAACTCTACATAAATCAAGAACTTAACAAAGTATATGATTGGTTAACTGCAAACAAATTGACCTTGAATATTAAAAAAAGCAATTTCATCATATTTTGCCCTGCCCAAAGGAAACTGTCTTATCAACCTAAAATTGTGATATTTGATAACAAACAGAACAAGAAGGCAGCTCTGGAGCATAAAGATTATGTCAAATATCTAAAATAAATAAAAATTTGTCTTGGAAACACCATATTGACCATATAATCATTAAAGTAAGCAGAACCATAGGATTAGTCACAAAATTACAACACTTTCTGCCAATGCACACTCTCTTAAATATATACCAAGCTCTTATAGCTCCTTACTTAACATACGGTCTGACAGTATGGGGTCAGGCTTGTAAATCTTACCTTGACAAGCTCCTAAAGTTGCAGAAACGAGCTCTTTGCTTTATCTACTTTTCTGATCATAATGAGAATGCAATTCCTTTATTTGTTGATGCTCATATCTTACCGCTAAAATTTGTTATTATGAATCTATAGCTAATTTGATGTTTGATGTTTGAAACAGAACAGTTCCATCCAATATTCAAGATCTATTTCAAGATATATCTTATGTTCATTCTTACAATTTCTGCCTCTAATAACTTCTATACCAAACCTTCTAGGTTATTCATTCAAGCGAATTCCTTCTCTTGAATAGGAGTAAAAGTGTGGAATGCAATACCTCAAGCATTAAGAAATCTTTCCAAAAATGCATTTAAAAGAAAACTCAAACAAATTTTATTCAACATATTAGGTTCACAAGACTCTTATGTAGATTTATCTGAGATTAGACAAAATGTAAAATCCTGGTAATACTTCTGATCTGTCCTGACTATTTTTATAAACAGTAGCTGTACCTTTAATATTTTAAATTTTGTCACTGTAATTGTTTTTCTTGTTGTTATTCAAAACTGTCTCTTTCCCCTCTACTTTATTAGTTAATTTCTGTTTTTAATAAGGCATGGCCCACCTAGATTAGCCTTTGCTAGTTGCAGGCATGCCCTTTCCTGTAAATTTAATTGTAAATTAATAAAATGTGTGTGTGTATCCAGAATAATATGTAGGCTTTTTTCCAGTGTGCTACGAAAGTCCTTTTCGTTCTTGGGAAAAAAGACAAATAAAGTACAAGAGCCAAGGTAAAGTTATGAAGGATCCTCTATAAAGACATTAAATAGTTTTTGCACCATAACTCCATTTAGAAGAAAATAGGAGCAAGAGTGGTACATGCCTGAAGACAATACACCATTTTAAAAAAGTGGAGAGCATTTATTGTGAAAAAATAGGATGATTATGTGAAGTATTCTCTACAAGGATTAACTTGACCCAATACTGTTTGAGCATAAAAACGCTGCAACTGCTTTGTTTAAAAGAAGACAAGAGGAACAGTATGTTTTAATAAGCCATCAATTTTCAGGACAAGGGCAACGCCTTTCTAAGAACTATGTATGTGGTTAGATGATAACTAATTTAGCATATTAGGGAAACAGAACATGCAGAATATTCAGCAGCATTCCATTGAAAAACAGGAAAAAATAAGGATATCAGGCAGAGCAACTAAATGGTCCCACATAACAACTCAAACTGATTTGCTTACATCCTTCAAGCTTTACTTTTTAAATAACAAACTTTTAAGGACTATTCATTTGGAGCTATACAAACAGACATATCTTCAAATTTGGCAAAGGTTTAAATATCATACTTTTTTGCTGTCTGACTTATAGCCACTTACTAGAAGCATAGGGTTGCATATGGCTGTCACTTTCATTTGTGAAAAGCCTCCTTCTTCTAAAAGTCTTGACCAAAACAAGATGTGAGATTTAAAACAACTGTAAGAACTAACATATGGCAAGGTAGTGCAAGAAAAGGAACTTTATGATAGAAAAAATAATTTATTTATCACATGTCCCAAGGCCTACCATCAAATTCAAAGTTACCCTTGTAGATGGGGTAACAGAAAAGAAGTGTGGAAGTATTAAACCTAAATAAAGGGCGTCAACTCTCTCTTAGAGACCTGTTGTGAAGTTGTTTTAGTAAGTTATCATTTACCTGTCTTTTCAATACAGTCAAGGATGGCATTTCCATTTCTATCAAACATAGCTTCCCTGCAAGAGTAATTTTCCTTGAATTAATAGTTGTTTTTAATTGCTCTTAATATGTCTAGTATATAAAGATATGCATTCAAAAAATAACTTGGCAGTAAATACAATCATAGTGACTAGGGAGATATCAATTATTTGTAATAGATAGCAAATGTTAGTATACCATATATTAAAAGAGTGGATAGCTAGCACAGTGGTGCACTCCGATTGGCTATTCAAACTCTTATTGACCTTTGCTATTCACCGCTGAGCAACTCTCATGAGACTTGCATCCAAAAACATTGTAATCGTTGTGGGAACGAATGAGTTAAAATCATCTTTTTGTGCTAAATTATCTCACTGGCTTTGCAGCTCAGTAAATATCTACTACCAACTACCTCCACTCCTGTGAATAGTTATTACATTGTAATGTCCTTTAAAAATAGAGCAAAAGTTACAGTTGAGACTGTTCTGTGGGTGTTGACTGTCTGAAATGCAGATCAAAACAAGCTCACCTATCTCTAAAGTTATCGAAATCAGTTGAAAGATCCTCTTCATTAGGGATGCATGACATTGTTCCTATTCCACATTCATCCAGCTCTCTTATTGTGTTCAGTATAGCTGGTAGAGTCTCCCCAGCCACAAACTGGCTATACATGGTATTGCGTAGTAAAAATTCAGTGTTCTTCCCAGCACCTGTCGACCAAAAGACATAAGCTGTTGAAATGAAAAGAAAAATAGACAGTTATACTCAGCCCTGCCCTAGGGATGCTAATGAAGACAAGAGGGGAAGGGAAGAGTATTTACTCTTGTCTGACCCTAAAACCAGGAACTGGCCATTTATTATTTGAGGGTAGGGTGGTTCTAGTGCGCTCTTATTTTCCTCAGCATAATTTCCGTTTGGCTTGTTTGTACCAGTGCTTAAGTAGAGTGACCCCCCCTCTTCCCCCCCTTAAGAGTGAATTGTTATTGGTTTGTCCCTTCAGTGCTGTTTTCTTTTGCAGAAAGTAAAATGTAATACACAGAAAACCATGACCCCTTGAAAATGATCACAGAATTTTCTGCAGTCCCTCATTTTCAGGTTCTCAAGGTTTGACCCCATCTCCATTTGTACCAGCTCAACCCCCTCCCCTGCCATGAATGTGATCATTTCCTTCGACAGTCTACGAGTATCAAAAATTATAAAATGCCAAAGGAACCCTTATTTTCAGACCTCACAGTCAGCTCCCATCTCAACTCCTTCAACTTTAACTCCAAGAAGTGATTAACATGCAACTTCTCCTTATGATATCTATACGTCATCCAGGACACAGGTGATGAGAATACTCAAAGGTATCAGCTAGAAGTGGTCAATTTGATCAAATACCAAATTCTCAAAACAGATTTTCGAGGAAATCTCTAGCTGCTAGAGAGGAGAATTTACCATTGGATCATAGGAGACATGTATCTGTATGCGCCTTTCAAGGCAGCACGAGGTCTCATCTGCTTCCGTAATTTTTGAATTTTATTGCCTTAAATGTTATATCTGCTGCCGCAAAATGGTCCAGGTTCGCCCCTCTTTTGGTTTTCTTCGATTTCATGGTGGGAAATGGCCATCTTATCGCGGTACCAGAGCTGGACGACAAGTGAAGGAGCGAGAAGTTTATCGTCACCGCCATATTGCAGTTATTTCACCAAGGTCAGCCAACCATGGCCCCTACCGTTTGAAGTCCAGTCACAAATACTGTAATAACGCCAACCTTCTCGCTATTCCACCTACACCATCTAAAGCCGAACCTGCAAAGTCATCAAAGCTATTCATGCCGTCGTTCTTTCTCTCCAACGTCATGTCACTGGCGCCGAAAATAGATGAAGTCCGTGAAGTCGTCCATTATGCAGATTTCGACCTTGTATGCATAACAGAGACTTGGCTCAAAGACCACATTGACAATAATATTGTCGCTATTTCTGGCTATAACGTGATCCGCCGAGATCGAACTGAAGCAGTGCATGGGGGAGTGTGTCTGTACATTAAAGAGTCTATCCAATTCAAGATCATTGAGGACATTATGGATAGGAAGTTTGAAGTTGTTTGGACTCAAATACGGCCTTCGCGTCTCCCAAGGGGCATTACCAGCATTATTGTTGGAGTTGTTTATCATTCTCCGAGCGCCGCGGATTCGCCTATGCTGGATTATTTGTATAACTGTTTATCTTTGGTTGAGGCTCGCTTTCCTGGCTGCGGGATAATTTTACTTGGTGACTTCAATAAAACTCTGTTAAAGAAATCTTCGCGCCTTAGTAACGGCTTTAATTTGAAGCAAATCGTTACCTTTCCAACTCGCGGCAGAAATACCTTAGATCCGGTGTTAACAAATGTGAAGGAGTTCTATGCCCCTCCGATCCAGCGCCCTGCTCTCGGTTTGTCCGATCATTTCTCTGTGGAAGTTCAGCCGCTCGTGCGTTCCCAACAACCAAGAACTAAACTTATCGTGAAATCGAGGGACTTACGGCCTACAACGCGTATGGCTATGCGCACGTATCTTGGAAATGTGGACGTTAAGACACTTATCGATAGTAAAGATTCTTGCAAGGGCAAAGTGGAAATGCTGGAGACCATAGTTAAGACCGGAATGGACATTCTCCTTCCCCTGAAGTCTAAGTCGGTACAAACCAACGAGCCGCCCTGGGTCAATCAACAATTGAAGGGTCTCATTCACAGCCGCCAAAAAGGCCCTCGCTCAAGGCGACCAGGAGCAGTACCGCACCCTACGAAATCGCGTTAATCGTGAGAGGAAAGCATGCCGTGCAAAGTTCTATAACTCCAAGGTTGAACATCTGAAGAACTGTAAACCCGCAGTTTGGTGGCGTGAGGTAAAGAAGCTCAGTGGTACGTCAGACGCAGCTTCTAGAGGCGTTAATCCAGCTACCCTCTACCAACATATTGATTGTGGTCAGGGAGGTTCGCTCCAAGCACGATAGACATTGCTAACACCATCAACCAGGCGTTCTTGGCTCCTATGCGCGTCTTCACCCCCTTTCACCTAACACCTCAACCAACTCTGACCAGGAGAGTGCTTTCCAGGTATCAGAATTCTCTGTTTTAAAGAAGCTATCCGCCTTAAATCCAACTAAGGCAACCGGTCCGGACGGAATCCCCGGTTGGCTTCTTAAAGAGAATGCAGATTTACTAGCACTGCCTGTGACTGATATCCTTAACTGTTCGTTTAAGGAAGCACGGTTGCCTCAGTCTTGGAAGGACGCTAACATCACTCCAGTACCAAAGCAGAATCCAATACACGATGTAAACAAACATCTACGTCCAATATCCCTAACTCCCGTGCTTTCTAAGGTTGCTGAAGATTTCGTCGTGGAGAGTTTCCTCAAGCCTGTTGTGTTGGCGAAAGTGGATGTACGGCAGTTTGGGACTGTGCCAGGTTCCAGTACGACACAAGCACTAATAAGCATGGTCCACTCATGGCTTAGTGCTACGGATGGGAACGGTGCAACTGTCAGAACCATCCTCTTTGACTTCCGCAAGGCGTTTGACCTTATTGACCATCAGATCCTAGTTCAGAAGCTCATTTCATACGATCTTCCAAGCGGAATAATTGACTGGATAGTGGACTTTCTGTCCTGTCGCCGACAGCGTGTTAAACTTAGTCAGGACTGTTACTCGGAGTGGGGGCCATCCCATCAGGGGTCCCACAGGGCACAAAACTTGGCCCCTGGTTATTTACTATTATGATAAACGACCTCATCATCCGGGTACAGACATGTGGAAATATGTCGATGACTCCACTATTTCTGAAACAGTCATGAAGTCTGAGGTCAGCAAAGTCCAACAAGCGGTTGACGAACTCGCGACGCAAGCTTCTGCTGACAAGTTCCAATTAAATGAAACCAAGTGCAAGGAACTGCGCATAACATTCAGTCACTCTAGAAAGAACTTTGATCCAATTAAGGTTAATGATCAGGACTTAGAGTGTGTAGAGCAAGCAAAGATCTTAGGTTTGCAGATATCTTGCGATCTTACGTGGAATAATCACGTATCCGAAGTTGTAAAGAAAGTAAACAAGCGCCTGTATTTTTTGCGTCAGCTTAAGCGTGCACAGGTCAAGTCGGAGGAACTTTTGCTCTTCTATTTGACTTGTATTAGGCCTGTCACTGAATATGCATGCCCTGTTTATCATCATAGCCTCCCGCAATACCTTTCAGTAGATCTTGAGAGATGTCAAAGGCGAGCTCTACGTATTATCTATCCAGATTGTTCGTACAATGAGGCGCTTCTTTTAACTGGTCTAGTTCCTTACACAACCGCCGCGAGTTCTTATGTGATAAGCTTTTTAATTCCATCCTGTCTAATCCCTCGCACAAGCTCTATAGCTTACTACCTCCCAAGAATGAGTGCGAAGTCAATTTAAGGAGTCAGCACTCTTTTTTTACTACACGGCGCCTCCACACCATTCGTACTCGAAATAGTTTTATCCATCACTATGTCCATAAAGCAATGATGTAATATTGTTTTTCTCTTAATTATATATTTTTGTCTTTTTAATTAGTTCTTCTTAGCCATGTATTTTTTGTAGTATATATTTTATTGTAAATCAAACGTAATTCAGCCTATGGCTGCAAGGTTCTTGATAATAAACTATCTAAATCTAAATCTAAATCTAAAGGGTTAACCACACCAGACGTTGCAATACGGTCATGAAAACTCTAGCTTTTTCCCACCCAATTGGCTCACAGAGTAACACTGTGGTGGAGAAGGAGAGACCTAGTGGGATTCCGACTGCTGTGGTTGGGGTTAAATTCCCGAGCGGATTGCACGCCGTGCAGTCTTTTGACCAGGGGTTATTTATCCAGGTTTTCTTCTTGTCCTTTCTCCACGAGAATCAAACTCGGCTTTGATTTTCTTTCATATATAACGTTCGACGTCACAAATCGCAAAAATTGCGTGTTTTTAGCATTTCACTTTCATTCCATAATCTCATGTTAAGATAACGGAACGCGCAAAATAAGCGACGGCACTATGCTACAAAACAGAGCAAAAATACGCACGCAAAGCGTAGTAACGGAAAAGCCGCGCTAAACGAACCTTACTTGAGTTGCTCGCCTTTCAAAGCGAAAGTTGTCATGTGATCCTCAGTTAAAGTTCTAAAACTGGAGGCCAAAAAATTAGAAAGTGAAATAGTCATGGATAATTATCACCTTATTCGAAGGATTTTTGAATCATTTAATACGAGCGTGCAATTTGCTAATAATTTTTCCTCGTCCCCACGTATGGGGCTCGGGTAAATACCTCGCAGCTCGCAGAAAGACATCACACGTATTCACATACGAACCACCATACTTTTTCTCGCCACAATATCGTAGGAACAAAGCTTTAAGACAGAAAGAGAACGCAGTATATGGGTTGTTTTTTTTCGCGGCAAAAATTCTGGTCTCCAAGAGAGTAGAAAGGAATTCTACCAAAGGAGTAGAATTTGTTTATCAAGAAAAAAAAACAAAGTCCGAGAAAGTTACCCAGTCAGTGATTCTCCTCGTATATATTTGCAAACAACAAGTTAAACGGAATCATCCCTGGCCATGCGTTAAAGATCAGTTGAGAGAGTGCGTAAGTACTAAAACATGGAATGACCTAAAACCACCTAAAACCACCTACAACCACCTACAACCATCTACAACCACCTCAAAAATTTCAACAACCACCTCAAAAACATCAACAGCCACTCGCAAACTATCTAAAACCATCTGAAACAAGGCATAAATGTCCAAAATAAAGACAATATGTCACGTATATGAAATACGAGAATCGAACAAAACCTCCACCTCCCCCTGAAATCTTACTCTCCCTGGTCCCATGTATAATCAACCATCTCACGAAATGAAATGCGATAGCATGCTAATTATTTTACATTCCCTCAGTAGCAAAAGACTTAAAGAACCTTACAAAATAAACTAACAAGTTACAAAAAACAATAAATAGGGAATAACACATGGGCGCGCGTAGATCTGGAATTTTGTCTTTGAGTGTTTAACTCGATAGCGGGCGCAGCGAACGAGTGAGATGTCGAGTTGAACACGAGAAGAGAAATTCCATATCTGCTAGCAACCATGTATCATTTTGTTTATCATATGAACACAATAGCCCTTCTCTGGGAAGAAAAGCCGACCTCATTAATGAATGAAAATAAATGAATCGACAATCCTCGAATAACAATCGTAGAGTGCGTAGGCACTGGGCTTTAAGATGGAAAAATGCTTTGAATCATGATTACAAAAACTTCCATATCTACGCGCGCCCATGTATTATTCCCTATTTATTATTTTTTGTAACTTGTTAGTTCATTTTGTAAAGTTCTCTAAGTCTTTTAATACTGAGGTAATAAAAAATATAATTGGCATGTTCTCGCATTTCATTTCGTGAGATGGTTGATTATACATGGGACCAGGGAGAGTAAGATTTCAGGGGGAGATGGAGGTTTAGTTCGATTCTCGTATTTCGTGCACGTGCATGTTGTCGTTTCGCCTTATTTTAGACATTTATGCCTTGTTTTAGATGGTTTTAGATAGTTTGCGAGTGGCTGTAGATGTTTTTGAGGTGGTTGTAGGTGGTTGTTGAAATTTTTGAGGTGGTTGTAGGTGGTTGTAGGTGGTTGTAGGTGGTTTTAGGTGGTTTTAGGTCGTTCCATGTATTAGTACTTACCTGAGAGTGACCGAATTGAAAGCCGACTTTCAAAGCGCTGTTCTGCTACTTCAATCACAAATCAGATTCTGAACAGAAAAAAAATTGTAAAAACAGAAAGGGACACGAGGAAAAATTGTGTAGGCTGACTATTTTGATAAGTGAAGTGATCTCGGTAGAAAAGTGGGAAGTATATGTGTGTGCCATTCAGTCAAAACTTGAAAAAGAAATCTGTAACTGGAGAGCAAAATATGAAAATCTTGAGGAAGAAAAGGAGAAACTGGCCGAAGAAATTCCAGAGAAAAGGAAAGAACAAGAAAACTAGACAATGAATATCAACAACTGACCAAGTACATTGACAGGTTACAGAATGAAAACTTGGGGATTCACAGAGGAGCTGGAATTCCAAACCTCAAAACAAAACAAGCACAAACAGAAAATTAGAAGAACTAAAGACTCAAGCACAGAAGGCACTTAATCTAGTAGAAATAATTGGCCTGCATTTACAGCTTTTGAAACTTAAAGACCCTAACAGTACTGATAGTTTTTCTACAGCCTTCTCAACTACAAATTCTCCCAATCCACAGTCAGAACATGGTAGTGTGGCTTCCCCAAAATCAAAATATGAATAATTTCATCCTGATTACAAAAACACAGTGGAGAGCATACTCTTTTTAAAGTAAATTTTCACATTTGCATTCAATGTTGAATGAACAGTTACTGAGGTAGGTGAAATGTATGTGTACAAAGATGTACGTTCACTTACAAAGCAATGTGCCTCAACAGATTTGAATGTACACTTACAAAGATTTATGTACACAGCCAACAAAGTTGAAATTTTACAGATTTGAAGGTACACTTTCAAAGATGAATGTACATTTAAAAAGTTTATGAGCCTTTTAAATGCAGAGTTAAATATTCACTTGTAACAAAGTTGTACATACTAAGAAAGATGAATGCACACTTGAAATTGAATGTACTTACTGATCACTTACACTTAGCATATCTATCTCAAAATTTGTATAGAATATTTCCCACTGTCTCATGCAAAAGTCATAATTTTTATTTCATCTGAAAAGAGCATATTAGGAGAATATTTCTTTTATTTTGAAATCACGTGTATGATTACAGATCAAATTGCACTCTGTTTGGGCCGACTAGCGGCCAAGCACGAATTGTGGACTTATATTAGGTCACATGATCAGTAGCACATGTTTTAGTGCGAGAGTAATTTCGTGTCAGGACCTTGGGTGCTGTGTTCATTTTGATTGTTGAAGTTTTGTGCTTTTCCTACCCGTTTATCGCATAGAAATATGTAAGTACATGTGCCTCGTTTTGCAGTTTCGCTTTCGCCCAGTGAGTTGTTAATTTAGGTTCTCGTTTTCAGTTTTTACCGTAGGTGTACGAAGATCAAGTCAAAACAACACGCAATGTCAAATGGTGAAAATGTTTAAATTGAAAAGAAGGTTTACTCAATCATGGAATGACTTGTATTGGTCCGGCTACGCGTAAAAGAGTTCTCTGCATATCGTCCCCAACACACTCTGCTCAGTTCAATTACAACAATTAATTTTATTAAAGTAGCTCTTCATGATTCAATCATTTAAAGCCACTTTAGTTAAATTAAAAGAAATTTTCTCCTGATATGCTCTTGGCAACCAAGTAGAAATCCCACCCATACCCATTTCATACTTCTTTGGGGACCAAGAAATATACGTTTTACCCGTCATAGGGTAAAAAACCTTCATTCCTTGGCCATGAGAATCCACCCAGGAATCTCACCCAAGAGGAAAATGAATAGCATTGAAATCATCTTTTTCAAAAAATGTCCGTCTCTCCCTCGACACTCCCTTACCAGCAAACAAGAAACGGAAAACATTCCCGAAAAAACAACCTTACAGGCAAACGTGACCGCGGTATCAAGTGCCGTTCGACAGCCATCCTAAAAGAACATACATTTTCTGGAATTATTGCAACGTCCGGCTTGGCCTGTTGATAGTTCCTCGCATCGAGGTAAGATACCCTCCTCTGGCTCCCACGAGGCTTCGTAAGGCAAGTAGCCCTTCCATTGCACCAAGTATTCTACCTGATTAAATGAAAGGGAAAAAAAAGCCTGTGCTGATTTCGACTGAATTCAGTTTAAAATATATAAACACAAGCGAGCACATGCGAAGACAGGCACTACAGCCAAACACTTACCGTTTCATCCTTTTCCCGTCTTTCGACAAGCCTTTCGACTTCCCAATAAGTCAATCTTCTGTTCTAGATTAATTCCTTTGGCTGGACAAAGTCGGCAACCGCAGATGAAATTGCATTTAACATCAAAAAATACCCTCTCTAAAGTCTCTCGCGCGACGCTATTTTGGTTTAATTAAAGTGGTCACTTTAACAAAGGGACCAATCACACGCTGGCTTTCTTGACAGGCTGTCATGTGTGCTGGCGCGCAACAGGAATAAGCGCCACTCACTTTGGTTCGGAATTTCAGGTTATGGTGATTCTACGAATTCAACGAAGCTCTTTAAGGCAGTGTCGATGGCTTTACGGTAATTATTCCTTGTCAAGAGTTAGAATGAATCGTCGAACGGTCTACTGACGTTTGTTTGTCACTTTTTCAGTGTTAACTCCTCTTGTAAAGAACCACTTTAACTTGTCTCGGCCGTTTATGGTTCGTTTAATCTATTTGCTAATGTATTCACAGTGGCTCAGAGAAACAGAGGTGATACAAATGTAGACACTAAATAAAGTCGTCCTCATTCTTATTCGAATGCGAAGCACTGTCTCTAATTGCTGCGTCAAGATCTTCTTTTGAACTCAAATGTTGCCCAAGGTTTCAGTTGGCGATCCTTCGTAACGTTAATGCTTTGAAGACGTATGGTAATGACAGCCATGATGGTAACAAAGTGATCTGAATATTGAAAAACGGGGGTATAAAGTTCCCGAAGAAAATGTGGTACTGAGTCGATGGGGTGCATCACAGCCGAGTTGGTGATTTAAATTGACCATCATAAAGAGTTTAGAATCTCTTAACGATTTTTAAGAATCTCTTAACGATGGCCAAGTTACGTTATCCACTCGAGTTATCTCTTGATCTGAATATTACTTGGTGTGTAATTAGGCTGTAAAATTTCCCCGATGTAATGTCAAATGGAATTTGTCTGCATTAGCTCGCTTTATCACGAGGGAGTGCTAGCTTTAAGCAATTTTTATCGTTTTGCGAGGCGAATATAACCGCTCTTCTGCACAGGTTACCGACAAAATCAGAGAACAGCTTACCTTTTGGTTCACGTGGTATGTGTTTGATTCTCCCACAAGGGAAACCTAATGTAATTCGCTACTTTGCTAAACGTGTTCAATATTTCACCCCAAAATTTGCAATCGAATCGAGATAACACGATAATATCGATCCCTCTTCCACATTCTTTTATAACCATTTAGAGATTTTTTTCCGATGATCGTGTTTTCGTCGAGTGTTGCTCTATTAAGCGAACATACTTCGAAGAATCTCTACGACTGCCTCTCGAGTCGAAGTATTGAATCGAACCTACCTGCATACTATTGCGGATGAAAGTGTCGTAGGAACATATCTTCAGTACAAACATTGCGCGTAAAATCTCCCCATTCCGTTTAGATTAGTAGGTAGTCTGAAGCTGACTCCAATCGAAAGTTAGTTCAGAGTCTGTTACGCCCTTTCCATTCCCTTGGGCGAATATTACGTCTCGATTTGCCGAGGTAACTTCTGTATTGCTTGAACCTGAGTTGTATGAGTACCAGTTTGAGAAAAGCTGAATTTTGCTATTGTGGTTATAATCTGTACGATCGTTTCCCACATTCTATAACTTGACGAGATATTCGATGTTAATTCACGAAGACATCGTAAAAAAATGTTGTTTTGACAAAGTAAGACACCAGTAATTAGCCTGTGTCCTATTCAAATTACGCTACAGTTAGAAACCGCACGCTTGAATGACTGCTCAAGGAATCAGGCGAAACAAGCAGCCTATAGAAATAATGCAACCAGGGTTTTCAGCGAAAACCTCGAACGGCAAACCGGTGGAGGTCACGTGATCAAGCCCTGCGGTCACGTTCGGAGTTCTCAACGCGCGTTTTCAACGCCAAGAGGTAGGTTTTCACGTAAGTGATTTACCTGAACGTTTTTTATCCTGAATTTGTTTTTATGCCACGCACAAATCAGAAAGTTATGTAAACCAGTCTTTTTAGAACAAGTTTAGATATATTTTTTAGCGAATGACTGAAAATAGAACTTCTTGTTGCCATTCGAAAATCAAACACTGCTGTTGTCTGGAAATTCAATATGGCACCATCTGGCTGGGTAGACCAATCTCCTGAGTAAGGTCATTAAGGCCTCCATCCTAGTTGCGTTTGTTCGCTGAACGCAAATGTAATGGGATTTCCAATGCAGTTAGGGGGCTTTGCGTGTCGTGTTTTTGGAAACTGTCATTGAAGTTAATGTTTTTCATTTGTAGTTCAACGAAAGGCTATCGTGTCCATAACCGAAAAAAAAAGAAAAAAAAACAAGGAAACCAACCTAAACATCGTCTCACACTGTATTTCACTCAAGTCATCCAAATTGAGCCGTATATAGTCGGGTTTGCTAGTTTCAGGGAACATGGCATCGACAAGAAGAAGATCGAGGTCGTCTTGATCGCTCGAATCATCTGAAGAACTGCTGTCAAAGGCCAGTGCTACAGTAAGGATGTCCTCAAAATCATACCTTAGAAATGGAGAATAAAAAATTTATTTCTTTTTTGCAGATAAATGATCGTTTGAGAACTCCAAAAAATCCTGAAAACGCATCAGCTTAGAAAAACTAACCTTGCAGGGTAAAGTGCCCTTGGACGTGAGGTGCCTGGGAATGAAATTAAATCACTGGAATATAGCGCCGAGCCAGCAAGGCTCCAGCAAGTCCGGCTACGTTTACCAATCTAAAAAAAATATCATGTATTACATAACAGTTATCTCTGAAAAAGTTGTGGCTACCGCCAGTTTATTCTGGATTCCAAAAGTTTTTGCGTGAGTCTATTTCTCATAGGAAATCTTGAAGTCCAAGCTGCAAAAAAATACTTTGTCACTAACAGCATCACCTGTGCCTATCATTTAGTTACTGACTGAACACTCTCTCAGGAAACCTATGTAAAAGTTTTTGAAAGTCAAATTAGGGTAGTTCTACAGTCACCGGAAGACTTGACTTAAGTAGAAGTGGAATGTTCAGCTACCATTTTCAAAGCTTTATTTTATTGCAGGTCTCGCATTTCCATGACTTTTTAGATTCTACAGTCCAGGGTGGTATGTTAACACACTTAAGGTGCCACCAGTCATTGCAATGGTGACATTACACATAGCACGGCAAAAAAACAAGCGTTCACCGTACGGAAAACGAAGGTTGAATTTACGGAAAACGTGGCAATTTACTATCGTTTACCCGTGTTTTGCCTACGGAAAATCCGACGTTTTCTGCGCGTTTTCGCATCGGTGAATCCCAGTATTCGTTCCATTATTCGGTTGTTTTCCTTCGCGGTAAATGCAGGTAAACAATTCATTTTTTGGCATTAACCGCTCGGTTAACACATGGCAAACAGCGTGTTTTCCTTTCGTTCATTGGCATTTTCCGAGTGAACAACAACGTATTCACCGAAGTTAACAGCTGAAAACACGCATTTTCCGGGAAGGTTAATGTGTGTAAATACGGGAAAACATAATATTTTCCAGAGTTTGCAGTTCGTATACCGTATAGAAAATGCCATGTTTTCTTTTGTTCGCAACCATTTTACGCCCGGTGAACGAAATGTTCACAAGAATTATCCAGTCGAAAGCATGCATTTTCCAACGTTTTTCCGCAATAGTAAATTCGAGAAATTTCGTGAAAACGCATTTTAAAGCGTTTTACCTTTTATTGTTGTTCGGTTAATCTATGGAAAACAACATGTATTCTGCCATTTACAGCCATTTTGCGCATTCCAACGTTATGTTCACCGGTATTAACCAGTCGAAAGTATGCATTTTCCGGTATTTTCTGTAACGGTGAATTCGTGCAAGGGATGCATTTTCCCGCGTTTACCGCCGCACGGTTAATTGCTGTTCGTTAAATTTCACTTCCTGGACTCAGCTCTACTGCAGGTTCTCAAAGCATTTTGTCCTATTTCCCTCTCCCAGACAGGATTAGCACTCCTTTAATAATTCTTATCAAGTTTATTAATGCACAATGATGTTAGCGGTACAATTTATTCAGAGTCCAAAACGGAGCCTGATAACAATCATGTTTGTCATCCTTATTTTACTTTACACATTTTTTCTCTCTAAAGCCAAAGGAGGCAAAACTTAACCCGTACAGTATAACTGATATTATAAAATTGGAAGGATGACTGTCTGAAAAATTATGTGCGGGTCTATATATACAAACTATACACATTTTGCAAAAATGAGTGTCAAGGTTTGAAGAAAATATAATTATGTGAACTTCATGTGCTGAGGGAATCAAGGCAACATTCTGAGAATACCACCTTACATTTAATTTTATACCTTAGATCTATTTGAAAAACTTCTAATGTTTGAAATTGCAACTGAAGAACAAATTTAATGGACTAAAAATACAACTAGCTGCAATTCAAACACAGAATTTTCTTAAACCTTAACTGTGAAGGCTGCATGTATCTCTGACTCTGATATATTAAGTATAACAGTTTGAGCCAAATTTGAAAATCATTGAAACTTCTAAAATATTAACTTAAAGAGAAAATATTTACTTGGACTGAGAAAATCTTGGAGTACTCCATCTGATGGAGAACAAGAGAACTCTAAAAGGAAGAATGAAAATTGCAGCCACCTCTAAAATAGCAGATATGTCAAGGATTTTGGGCTCTTTAAAATGAGCATGATAAATTGTTCTCACTAATAAAAATTCACTTAAATGCACAATTCTGTGATAACGTAGTGTGATAATGTTCAAAAATCTATTCATATAATGTGAATTGTTTGCCAAAAAACACCTGCATTCAATCCTGGACATAAGTGCCAAATGGTGGTCAGGGAAGGCAAAATATTCTAGAAACTGATTTCACTATCCATTGACAATAACTTAAATGTAGGCTGCTCAATTACTTAAATTGCTCAAAATATTACATGTTATACATGTATATGTTTACAGTCTTCAAACTCTCTTGTAATCAACCATGATTGTACAGAAGTCTCACTTCACATTTGCCAACTAAGGTGGTTTCTTGTGAGAAAATTGCGTCACCATCGTTTGGCATCCTGCATGCACAGAAGATTGGTACCACAGCTTTTGATACAGAAAGGTGCCTTTGCACTCTTCTGTCTGTTGTTGGAAATGGCATCATCTTGTGATCTTCTAAGCATGCATTAAAGTGGCTTCTCAGAAGGGGTTGAGCATATGTAATTTCTTGTGGGTCATTTCCAAAGCAGAGTGAAGTAGCAAAAGCAATGGCAAACAAACCACAGTCACTGGCTCCTTGTTGTCGTTGAACTTTCTGGTTTGAGACTGTAACCTTTTTACCATTATGAAACAGCATTTGGCAAGAGTTGATGATGGCTGTAGGAGAAGGACTGGTTCCCATGCTGTCATAGACTTTTACATAACCGTTAGCACATCCTATTGTGCTTAAACAAACCCAATGACCACCAGTGTTGATTATCTGGACAAATTCCGTGACAGCTGGGGTCACCAGATCTCCACTTAGAATACCAGGATCATTCAGGCCATCAAGGTGAGGGAACTGTGTCTTAAGTAGCTGTTGAGCAGCATGGATTTCTGAGTCCGTCGGCCAACCATTGGGGTTTGCTATATTGGATTTGCTAACCTGGTATAAGGTGAAGTGAGTGTTGTCAACAATGCTGTCTGAAAATTTTATCCATTGCTGTGGATCCGGTGAATTGTCATCTACTACTATAAATGCTGTTGAATTCATCGTTGGTTCTTGAATATTTTCTGGTACAGTTGAAGGGGTGGCTTTGTCACCGCAGTCATCAGTTCGCATTTTCTTTGCTGCAGGCTGATTGTGACTGTCTTCTTCTGGAGTTTGGGTAGCTTTGGGGGAGCTCACTGGTAGTCCGGCATGGCTGTAAGGAATGTGGGTTTTTGATGGTTCTGCAAGCTCAGGAACAAAAGACACATTGTAAGTCTTCTTCATTGTGCCAGCCTTCTCACCAACCCTGCCAGAGTACTTATTTCCCTTTCCTTTTCTTTGAGGGAGGGGGTTTGCTTTTGCCTGGGTTTTGGACGATGGTGGAAATGACTGCTGTTGGTCTTCCTGATGAGACTCTTTATTTTCAAGAGCAATGCCATCTTCTGTTAGTACAAACTGTTGTAATTCGAGAAGAGCTAAGAAAAGTGTGGCTTGTAAAGCAGTTAAAGGTTCCGCCTCATGCACAAGAAAAGTGAGATTTCCAAGGTGATTGAGAACCTCCCTGCATTTGGTAGCCTGAGTACGTGATGTTTTTTGTTTGGTGGGAAGGGGAAGGATGCTATGACCATTTTCTGTTATGTCGGGTGGGCACACTGGCATCTCTAGATTTGTGATACAGGTAGTTTGGTCATCTGCAACGTCATGCTTTGGGTGCAACTTCTTCATAAGTCCAGTCCCAGCCAGGCACATGATGAAAAATGGCCAGGAAATGCTCGCAAGGTTAATAGGTTTACAGTCAATCAGGGCAATCGCAATTTGGCATGCTGGATTGGTCAGCAAATTTGATGCTGTAAACCACATTCTGCTCCATTTGGCTCTTCACCTTAAACTCCCCCAACAGAGAATCTACCACAGTGATGTCACTGGCTGGGATGCTTTGAGCAGCATCCAATCTCTCCATGCAGTGGTTTACCAGATGCCGAGGCCTATCAACAAGAAATTGTGGAATGCTGTGGCTGTATTGCCGGTACATGGAACAGTATTGCACATTCTTCTCTGAAAGTAAAACAGTTTATTTTGAGTGGCGCTAACATCATTTGTGGCATTTTGAGGAAAGTTCTAGCGTTACAGTAGGCTTCCTAGCAACCGACTGAGTGCACTGGTTTAAAACTCCAGGTTACTGATATTCAGTGTAGAGTAATGAGGCAAGTATTTAATTTCAAATTCTACATGCTTGTTTTAATTGTCTGACAAGAACTCCTCAGTAAGAATTGTCAGCATCCCACTTAGGCTATTGTTCCTATGGCTTTTAAGGTAGGTGTATTTGAAGAGCTTGTTCTGTCGCTCCAGCCCATTGTTGGTGTTGACTCTCAGATTGAATCTGTCCTTACGAAATGCCCATACCCATACCCTGCCAGCTTCCATTGTAATCTAAAAACTAGCAATTCATCGTAATATATTTTTTTTTGCCAAAAGAAAATTTAAATATAACAGATTGATTGGTGATGTATTGTGCTGTTCCTTTTCCCGGTGCCTTTATAGAACTAGACCAACTGAGGATTAAGTTGGGCCCCTTTTATAGTAAACAGATGGGAAAATAACACAGAATTTGGCTTATTTGCATCGCCAGACTTACCGATACTCCCAAAGTTGTCATCCACCACCCAAAGAGTGAACGATGAGTTTGTACACAACTCCCATTCTTTGACAATTTCGTCGATCTTGTAAGATTGGTAAACGTAGCTGGACTTGCTGGATTAACGTACATCGAAAATTTCCGATAAATGAGATGCAACATCTGCATCGCCTGCCATTGCCCAAATATACTCCACTAAAGATAGTAAGACATCAGATTATTGCTTTTTGGTGAATTTGAAAAAGAGCGCGAAATATTTTTCCAATACCGGAACCGGAAACCGATTTTGGAATGGCACAAGGGCGGTTTGAGCTATGGAAACAAAGCAAATCCGTCGTGCAGCTACTCTTTTCCAGAGCTGGAACCGCCCTTGAGGTTTAATGTCTTTGATTTCTTTTTTTATCGGCGAAAATAAACCTTAAGCGACAGAAATATGCTGGATGTGATGTTTACTAAGCCAGATGTTTACTTTTGACTCAAAACACACACGAAGTAGACATAAAATTCGTGCACAGCAAGAACAGGGAACGTTCGGAGTCGTAAATCGTCGGTAGTTCGGCGCTATATTCCAATGATTTAATTTCATTCCCAGGCACCTCACGTCCAAGGGCACTTTGAGATATGGAAACAAGTCTTTACCCTGCAAGGTTAGTTTTTCTAAGCTGATGCGTTTTCAGGATTTTTTGGAGTTCTCAAACGATCATTTATCTGCAAAAAAGAAATAAATTTTTTATTCTCCATTTCTAAGGTATGATTTCGAGGACATCCTTACTGTAGCACTGGCCTTTGACAGCAGTTCTTCAGATGATTCGAGCGATCAAGACGACCTCGATCTTCTTCTTGTCGATGCCATGTTCCCTAAAACTAGCAAACCCGACTATATACGGCTCAATTTGGATGACTTGAGTGAAATACAGTGTGAGACGATGTTTAGGTTGGTTTCCTTGTTTTTTTTTCTTTTTTTTTCGGTTATGGACACGATAGCCTTTCGTTGAACTACAAATGAAAAACATTAACTTCAATGACAGTTTCCAAAAACACGACATGCAAAGCCCCCTAACTGCATTGGAAATCTCATTACATTTGCGTTCAGCGAACAAACGCAACTAGGATGGAGGCCTTAATGACCTTACTCAGGAGATTGGTCTACCCAGCCAGATGGTGCCATATTGAATTTCCAGACAACAGCAGTGTTTGATTTTCGAATGGCAACAAGAAGTTCTATTTTCAGTCATTCGCTAAAAAATATATCTAAACTTGTTCTAAAAAGACTGGTTTACATAACTTTCTGATTTGTGCGTGGCATAAAAACAAATTCAGGATAAAAAACGTTCAGGTAAATCACTTACGTGAAAACCTACCTCTTGGCGTTGAAAACGCGCGTTGAGAACTCCGAACGTGACCGCAGGGCTTGATCACGTGACCTCCACCGGTTTGCCGTTCGAGGTTTTCGCTGAAAACCCTGGTGGTAAATGTTGCCACTATTCCCCTCTCCTCTACTGCAGCTCTCCGTTACATAACCTCGAATAAGTTGTTTTGAAGCCGCCTGTATGATTTCACAGGTGGCGCTTCGGGCGATTAACTCGAAAAAGTAACGGGATGCCTCACTGTTCAACCCTTCAACACGTGGGAGTTGAGGGGCTGAGCCTTGGGAAAGTCCCCTTTTTCACCAAGCGAGGATCACCCAACTCCTATTCGATCAGTAAGTTCTGTTTCTCGAAAAGACTATGATGACACTGCATCAATTTTGTCACACATTTTGCCTCAATAAACACCAATTATGCTAATCTTTCTGTAATTTTTCCAGCCCCAAAAAACCTATGAGAGCGGAGAACAGAAAGCGCAGAATGTAACACATCGTCCCTATTTCAGCGGTTTATTACCACGAGAAGAGAGAAAAAGTAAAAACAGAAATTTGGCGGAAACAACAAACAGCTTTAATTAAACACATATTCTACAAGGATTGCATACATCATATTAAAAATGAATATTGAATATTATTACAAACAACGAAGAAAAAGTTAAATTGCCTTTCAGATTGTATTTCTTATTCATGTCATCACGTGGTTACTTTCAGTTGGATCTTTCGAATTCTTTGACTGTAACAAGAAATACAAATAAAAAAGAACAGTTAAAAACCAGTAAACCATCCAACCTCATAAAATGGACCATGCAACTAAGTGAACCGTTCCGAGAGGCGTTTTCAGTTGAAAAACAGGGCATAGTTTCTACAGCGCCGTTCACTATTTCGCTCCGTTTTAATGACTGAACGCCTAGAGCAGGTTATTCAAAGGGTAATTTATCCTAACGGATAAATAAAAAACCAGCGGATAAGTCTTAAGAAAACGTACGGCACTATTCACCGTATTGGGATTTATTCAGTGGATAACGTCAAGCTGGCCTTTATCATTGATTAATCAACAGGCACCAGGCCCTTAGTCTCCTCGCGGCTAGTGTCCCAACCAAATACAATAGTATCGTTGCGCACTAGTGTTTAGAATGAAATTGCCTGTCGAAGAATACACTGCACCAAAAAAACAATGATGATCCCATCCAGGAGCTCATTACTTAATGATAGGCTCCTGTTCCATCATAAGTCTTACTTCTTTCGGTTTTTGTTTGTTATCACTTTTCTCTTGTGGCGTGTGAGCCCGCTGTCGAGCGAGCCAAATAGGAAACCAACTCTGTCGTGCGCTTTTGATCTTCTTCGCGCTGTGCATCCTGGTTCCAGCGAACTGATCGTTGTGAGTCCCACTTGTAACTTTTAAAAGTACTGAAACTTAAATTGAAAGTGATCAATAAAATTGTCATGGAATCGCCGGTGAACTTTACAAGGACAATATTCCCATTTTAAGAACGAACCCACAAATTTACTTCAATAGTATTGAGGAACAAGTCATTATTCATCCCCGGGAGGGGGGGAGGGAGGAAGGTTTTTGGACTCTGGAGTGATCACATGGGGGGGAGGGGTTTTGGGATTTTGGAGGAATCACATGGGGGGGGGGGGGTACAGAAAATACATTAAGTTCTATTTAGAGGAGGAGTCATAAGATATTACGTATTACATAGCCTTAGGGGTGGGGGATCAGGTAAACTTTATCATAACACAAAAAAAAACCCTCCCCCCTCCCCGCTTCCCCCAGGCTCTACATAATGACCAGTCCCGTGCCAAGATCTGACCGCAATATTTCATTGGAATAACGCCTCTAAGGGGTTGTCATAATAGGGCTCGTGTCGCTAAGGTAATTTTCCAAACCAGTATTTACAATTTCTTCTTCAAGAAGAGCTTATACCCTGATCATTCCAGGGGCTCAGAGTAACAAATCTTACTTACTCTTTTCTGGACGCAGAGGTGACTTTTCTCGAGATAAGACTAGGAGAATTAATTTGATAGCCTTGGTTAAATTTAAATTAAAGTTTGGGGGGGGGATAACATAGCAATAACTTTCTTTTCTGTGAAAAAATGGGATTCCAGTCCGTCGCTGGTAAACTGCTAGTTGATTCCAAAAATTATCTGAAAAAGGTCATTTAATAACGGTATTTTTCAATTGCTCAAAAGTAAAAATTTCAGTGATTTTTTAATAAATTCCCCCAGTCATAAACCCAAGGAAATGTGTAAAGTACAGTATGGAAAATGTGCATACTGATATTAGGGTGATCACTAAGAGTAAACGGGTCAATGACTCTCGTTTTTCCTCCAAATCATTGTCCTCTGACTAGGGTTGATCCTCATCTTCTTCGCAGTGAGCTGCGATGGACCAACCGACTTCGCTTCGCCTTATTGAAGGAAGGTACTGTCGGGAGGACGAAACAGCGATTCGTTATTTCCGCAAACAAATAAGGGAGTACCCTTATGGCAACCTACAAACTCAACTTCTCCCTTCCCCTCCCTTAACCCTGCACAGGGAATCCTGCCAATTAACACCAATTCCCCGAAACTCCCAGCTAGAGGTAAAGTAAACAGGGATTGCATCGGTTTTGCTTTTCCTACACTGCGATTGCTCTTGAAAACGTACGCCACCTTCTCGACCAGTCAGATGCCAACGCTAAACCAATCATAACCTAATCAGTTATGTTTTCCCGCGCTTCGTACAGATTGCTTATTTTTACTTTGAGTTCACATTGGCTACTTTTAATTTGTCGTTCGCTCTGATTGGCTAGTGTGGTAACTTTTCCTTTATGACACCCGATTGGAATGCACTATACTAGTGCAAGTCTTCGCATTACATCCATATTAATAGAAGATGATTTTTTTCACCAACCGTAGGAAATTCTAAAACTTTTCGTTCACTTGGGTCTATCATGTCCGATAGGGCGCTCGTGCTGCTCTATGAAACAAAACAAAAAGAAATGATTCAAGCCTACTGTAGTTCTTAGAAAACATAAACCAATTGTTAAATAGTTTAAAAAAGAAAAGCACTATTTTACCTCTAGGTCTCTGGTATTCATGTTCGCTAAAGCTAACTCCTCCACACCAACGTGTAAAAAAGGTTTCAATGGGCTTTTTTTAAGTATTCTACTGAACAGTTCAATGATGGACGAGAAACGAGAGATATCTAAATGAAAACGACATAGGAATTTTCGATCTTTCTTTAAAGCGCTTTTCGATTGAGTGTCTTCGGACCAAAACTAAAGTAAAGCGTAATCATGATGCCCAACAAGAACAAAGCAAAATATCTCTTGTTGTCAGTAAGAAGTCAAATTAGAAACATGTAAAATTGCCAAAAGCGCGGGAAAACGCGAGTGACCAAGTTGCCATTGGCGCTTCAGTTTAGCATCTGATTGGTTCAGAGAGTGGCGTGAGTGTTCTGGACCAATCACAGAGCGAAGCAAAGGGATAACTTTCGACGCTCATTCTCATTTCTCTATTCGATAAATTATCAGGAAGCCTTTATGTAATAAATTGTTGAGGTATACAACCGGCCAAGTTATTTCACTGTGCAAGAAACACCTTGAATTAATTCCAATGATTTACCTAACGCCTATAAATCTAACATAGCGCGGACGATGCCTGTAATCACCTCGCACTTGATAATCTGCGGAATGGTATACAGATAGCGTTCCTATGTGCAAACATATCTTCTACAACAGTTGGATTGTTGGTGATTGCTGGCTCCTCGTTAGAAGCTGAATTTTTATCGGAAGATAACTTTTCAGAGGCCCCAGCATCGGTTTCTTTCTCAGTGTTCTGTTCCTCCTCTGTTGACTTTCCTTTCTCCGGTTTGGATGATTTTCCGACAGAAAATAAGGACGATATGCATGTGCATAGAAAAGTGAAGATTGTAAATTTTAGAACTACTTGTTGAAAACGAAAAGATACACGAGCGCGAGACGAAGAGAAATTTTCTGAGAACTCTACGAGGAACCGAACCTCAGGCTCTCAGTCGTATTATTAATCGATCAGTCTATCAAATAATTCAACAATCGATTAAATACCCATTGGCTATTTAGTAGAGAAAACCTAAAGAAAACCTAAATTACTTCGGAAGACAAATTGAAAACTAATGAAATCTGAAAAGCTCAGTGTACCTTCAGTAAAACCCTTCAATTAATCTTGATTATGTAAATATCTTCGTCGTTATCTTTCTTTGCATTTCCTTCGCTGCTTTCTGCTTTTATGTCGTCAGCTTTCTTGTTATCGCTCTATTCAGCTGAGTTCTCCATGTTCTCCGCTGTTGGTTTGTGATCACGCACACAACAGCCCTGTTAAGTTTAACATAACAGATACATCGCAAACAGAGTCGACAAAGGGTACTGTAAGGCTGCGAGCGCTCAAATACCTCTTACTAACCGAATTCTCCGTCCGTACTGTAAGTTACGGATCATAAATCCGAGCTGAAAAACGAGGATCCATAGCTTATAGCACGGACCGAGAAAACAAGGGTAGTAACATATTTATCCATCTCTGGGTTCAAATTGAGGGGGAGATTCCAATTCAAACGGAATTTCGAATTCAGACGGCTGCACAGTGAAATACGGCCTGCTAAATTGACCAATCTTAACCCACTCACGAACTGAGAGATATATCAAAGGCTCGTATGTGGATTGAGAAAATACAAGGGTCTCGTGGATCATTAATTTCATACCCAGATCCCTCTCGCGAGCTCACTTTCGGTTTCGCACACAAGAGAGATCTGGTTACGAAACTAGTGCATATGAGATACCACTCGAAAGTAATGTACAGTTAAGACGTAATTTACTTACAGTGCCTTCGAGGAATGGATCAAAATGCAATACGCGTTGCCGACAGTAGGGATATATTCTAATTATCTTGGTCGCTGCGCACTCCAAGTTTCCAAAATCTACAGTCATCGGGTGACAGCTGTAGTGACCCAATTCTGAGCACTGGAAATAATTCCCGCAACGGTGACAGTAGAGGACATTCACTGCACCCCATAATCTGTGTAGAAAACAATACAAATATGTTAGCGTGGGATAAATTTGGTTGGCGCGCCGCACGAAAAGCAGGTGTTGTTCCGCGGAGCGCGCTGATCACAATATTTATCGTTCACGCTTATTTTTTCGGACACGCACGCCAGACTTCGCCTAAAAGGAGGGCCTGCTCGTTGTCTAAAATCAAAGGGAATCTTACCTCCAGTAAACTTCTTTCCAAGATTTTACTTCATCTCTTAATCCAAGAAGGTAGTCATTCACATCCCAGGTAAAGTCCCTGTAGGAGACGAAGACACATAGCCATGATATGCCTTCAATAATTATTCTTACTAGAAAAAATAGGGAGAACCTTCCTTACCCCATTACACTACTATTTCCAACAGGTACTGATCCGCAACACCAGAGAAGTCTATCAAATAAGACTTAACATCAGCCATCAACTGTAGGGAAGCGTGTCCTCTACTTGTTCTGGGGTGGGAAGGGGGGTGCCATCGCCCAAAGAAATATTGCAATTACAGTTGAAATTCCAACGAGAATTTGCAAGGCAAGATTTTTGTATAACCCCATACTACACAATTCAAACAGTTCTTTGATAAAAGCAGACAATGGCGAAAACAATAGACCGACTTTCGGACTAAAGCTTTGTTCTCGATATGTAGGGAGTTAAACGGAAATCTTTCCCCTTAACAAATGTATTTCATGTTGCCGTGCTTCTGTTCAGTAGTAGATCAAAGATGACGTCAAAATGTGGTAAGAACAAAAAGGTGGCACACGAGGTGCAGATGAGTCTGTCATTGATGTTCTCACCATATTTTGACGTCATCTGTGATCTATTAAAAAGTTATTCCACGAGCGCGCGTTGGATATGAGACGATAGATAGCCAACGAGGGCCGTGAGGTCGAGTTGGCTATCTACCTTCTCATATCCAACAAGCGTGAGTGGAAGAATTGTTTTCATTAAAAACGCTCTAAAGACTTAACAAAACTCAGAAGAAACTTGGCTGAGACTTTCTGATGTATTGTGTCCTTATTGGACATTTCTGGCTAGTACATACGTGATCAGGAACAGCATGCACTGATCATTTGCTATTCATAGCAACATTGAAGCTAATTTGACCCAATTCTCCCACTCGCGCTTGTTGGATATGAGGGTTCTCCCTATTTCTTCTAGAAAGAATAACTATTGAAGGCATATCATGGCTATGTGTCTTCGTCTCCTACAGGGACTTTACCTGGGATGTGAATGACTACCTTCTTGGATTAAGAGATGATGTAAAATCTTGGAAGGAAGTGTACTGGAGGTAAGATTCCCTTTGATTTTAGACTACGAGTAAACTCTCCTTTTCGGCGAACTTTGTCGCGCGTGTCCGAAAAAATAAGGAAGAACAATAAAAATTGTGATTAGCGCGCCCCACGGAACAATGCCTGCTTTTCATGCAGCATGCTAACAAAAATATTTCGTAGTTATCAATTTATCACACGCTAACATATTTGTATTGTTTTCTACACAGATTATGGGGTGCAGTGAATGTCCTTTATTGTCACCGCTGTGGGAATATTTTCCAGTGCTCAGAATTGGGTCACTGCAGCTATCACCCGATGACTGTAGATTTTGGAAACTTGGATTGCACAGCGACCAAGATAGTTGGAATATATCCCTACTGTCAGCAACGCGTATTGCATTTTGATCCATCCCTCGAAGGCACTGTAAGGGAATTGTATCTAAGTTGTGCATTGCTTTCGAGTGGTATCTCTTATATGCACTAGTTTCGTACCCAGATTTCGCTTATGTGCGAAACCGAAAGTGAGCTCTCTAGAGGAATCTGGGTATGAAATTGATCCACGAGACCCCTGTATTTTCTCGGTTTACATACGAGCCTTCGATATATCTCTCAGTTAATAAGTGGGCTAGGATTAGTCAACTTTGCTGGCCGTATTTCACTGTATAGCCCGCTGAATTAAAAATTTCGTTTGAATTGGAATTTCCCCCTTAATTTGAACTCATAAATGGAATAAATATGAAACTAACCTTGTTTTCTCTGTACGGACTGTAAGCCATGGATCCTCGTTTTTCCGCTCGGATTTATGATCCGTAACTTACAGGACGGACGGAGAACTCGGTTAGAGGTATTTAAGGGCACACAGCCTTGCAGTGCCCTTTGACGACTCTGTTTGCGGCACATCTATAATGTTTAACTTAACACTGAGGGCTGATGTGTGCGTGATTACAAACCAACGTTAAGCAAACCAGTTTCGAACACAGCAGAATAAAGAGAACTCAGCTGAATCGAGCGATAATAAGAAAGATGACGACGTAAAAGCAGAAAACAGCGAAGGAAACGCAGAGAAAGATAAAGACGAAGGTATTCACATGATCAAAATTTGTGCCTAAAGAGCAAGTCACAAGATTAATTGAAGGATTTAATTGAAGGTACAGCTTTTAATATATCATTGGTTTTCAACTTGTCTTGCAAAGTAATTTATGTTTTCTTTAAGTTTTCTCTGATAAATAGCCAGTGGAAATTTAATCGATTGTTGAATTCTTTGATAGACTAATCGATTAATTTACGACTGAGAGCTTGGGTTCGGTTCCTTGTGGAATTCTCAGAAATTTTTCTTCATTTCGCGCTCATATATCTTTTTGCTTTCAACAAGTAATGCTAAAATTTACAATCTTTTCTTTTCTACGCACATATTTTCCTTATTCTCTGTAGAAAAATCATCCCAACCGGAGAAAGGAAAGTCAACAGAGGAGGAACAGAACACTGAGCTTTTTTGTGTACGTGGAAAACCTCGAAATGGACAACTCGACAGCGGGCTCACACGCCACAAGAGAAAAGCGACAACAAACAAAAACCAAAAGAAGTAAGACTGTTATGATGGGATTATCAATGTTTTTTTTGTGTAGTGTTTTATATGTATTCTTCGACAGGCAATTTCGTTCCAAACGCCAGCAAGAGATTTTACAACCATAAAGTTAGCTCAATCTTTATTTGTCTTTTGCAGTTTGGAGGAGGCATTTTCTCTAAGTTGAACCACAGGCAGCCCAAGCTCACGTCTCGAGAAAAAGCTAACGGTTAATTCATGAACGCGTCACGCGTTGTGTGACTCAGTGTTAAGTTACGAGAGGAACCGTTGAAAATTTGAACACGTTATAAGGAATAGTATGGGGGAAATTTGACAGGAATAACAGTGATGGTAAAGCAAGCTTAAAACAGCAGAAATCGCCGGAAACTACAACGGACACATAGGATGTGAGTAAGTGTTATTGATTTTACGTGTAAAATATTCATATTTCGAAATATTTCTCGTTGTAAATCGACCATATTTCGTTCCCCATACTATTCCTTATAACGTGTTCAAATTTTTAACGGTTCCTCTCGTAACTTAACACCGAGTCACGCAACGCGTGACGCGTTCATGAATTAATCGTTGGCTTTTCGTCTCGAGACGTGAGCTTGGGCCGCCTGTGGTTGAACATTTCGTGCGTCACAGCAGGCCGTTGTATCGAAGACACAGTCCAGCGGGCCACCAACAGGAAACAGGTACGCTAAGGTCTAAAGAACGTCACTCAAAATGTGATAGTCTGTTACAATGATCAGTCCTGTCACGCAACGATACTATTGTATTTGGTTGGACACTAGCCGCGAGGAGACTAGGGGCCTGGTGCCTGTTGATTAGTCAATGATACAGGACAACTTGTTCGAGGTTGGATGACGCTATCCACTGAATAAATCCCAATACGGTGAATAGTGCTGTACGTTTTCTTAAGACTTATCCGCTGGATGTTGATTTATCCGTTGGATAGAATTATCCATCCTTTGAATAGCCTGCTCAAGGCGTTCAGTCGTTAAAACGGAGCGAAATAGTGAACGTTGCGGCAGAAACTGTACCCTGTTTTTCAACTGAAAGCGCCTCTCGGAATGGTTCAGTGCATGGCCCAATTTTATGAGGTTGGATGGTTTACTGGTTGTAATTGTTCTTTAGGCCCCGTCCACACGTATCCAGATAAATTTGAAAACGGATAAATATTTATCCGTTTTCAAATTTATCCGCGTCCACACGTCCGTTGCCGTTTGTGAATCGCTTTTGGTGTCCAAACGTAAACGCAAAAACGATTTGAAAACAATGACGTCGCCTACTGAGCATGCTCTTTAGAGCAAAACATGTGTCCGCAGTCTCGCGTATCCTGAGCCTGAATCCTCTTGGCTGTGCTCTTGGGCTTCTCAACCTTATCAACAGTGTTCGCCTTTGTTCCTCGTGGTCAAAAAGGAGTTTGGTATTCGCCATGTTTTCATTAATGGTCGATCGGCCGAGAGCACGCGTTGGACTAGGTTTGAATTGTTACGTCATCGTTTTCAAATCGTTTTCAAATTTATCCGGATAAGGCGTCCACACGGAGACGCTTAGCCAGCGTTTTCAAATTTATCCACTCTTGAGAGCGTTTTCAAATTTATCCGTTTTCGGTGTGTGAAAACGCCGTTTACGTGTGGACGGAACCCGTAACCGTATAAATATTTATCCGTTTTCAAATTTATCCGGATACGTGTGGACGGGGCCTTACTATTTGCATTTCTTGTTATAGCCAAAGAATTCGAAAGATCCAACTGAAAGTAACCATGTGATGACATGAATAAGAAATACAATTTGAAAGGCAATTAAACTTATTCTTCGTCATCTGTAATAATATTCAATTTAGGTCACATTTTTAATATGATGTAAATACATGTTATTTTTGTAGAATATGTATTTAATAAAAGCTGTTTGTTGTTCCGACAGATTTCTGTTTTTTACTTTTTTCTCTCTTCTCGTGGTAATAAACCGCTGAAATAGGGACAGTGGGTTACATTCTGTGCTTTCTGTTCTCCGCTTTCATGGGTTTTTCAGGGCAGGAAAAATTACAGAAGGATAAGAAAAAATCGGTGTTTATTGAGGCAACGTGTGACGAAATTGATGCAGTGTCATCATAATCTTATCGAGAAACAGGAGTTGATCCTCGCTTGGTGAAAAAGGGGACTTTCTTGGGACTCAACCCCTCAACTCCCACGTGTTGAAGGGTTGAACAGTGAGGCATCCTGTTGCTTTTTTGAGTTGATCGCCTGAAATTTTACTTTTGAGAAAAGCAACGAAAAAACACTTTTATTAAATGACCGTTTTCAGATAATTTTTGGAATCAACTAGGAGTTTACCTGCAATTGACTGGAATCCCGTTTTTTCACAGAAAAGAAAGTTATTGCGATGTCATTTTCCCTCCCTTAAACTTTAACTCAAATTTAACCAAGGCTATCCATTTAATTTTTTCTCCTAGTCTTATCTCGAGAAAAACCACGACCTCCAAGGAAAAGTCACCTCTGCGTCCAGGAAAGAGTAAGTAAGATTTGTTACTCTGAGCCCCTGGAATAATGAGGGTATAAGCTCTTCTTGAAGAAGAGACTGTTAATACTGATTTGGAAAATTACCTTAACGACACGAGCCCTATTATGATATGATATGACAACCCCTTAGAGGCGTTATTCCAATGACATATTCCGGTCAGATCTTGGCATGTGACTAGTCATTATGTAGAGCCTGGGGGTAGCGGGGGGGGAAGATTTTGTTTGTGTTATGATAAAGTTTACTTGATCCCCCACCCCTAAGGCTATGTAATACGTAATATCTTATGACTCCCCCTCTGAATGGAATTTCATTAGCAATGAATTTTCTGTACCCCCCCCCCCATGTGATCCCTCCAAAATCCCAAAACCCCTCCCCCATATGATCACTCCTGAGTCCAAAAATCTTCCCCCCCCCCTCCCGGGGATGAATAATGACTTGTTCTTCAAAACTATTGAAGCCAATTTGTAGCCCCCGTTCGTTCTTAAAATGGGAATATTATCCTTGTAAAGTTCACAGGCGATTCCATGACAATTTTATTGATCACTTTTAATTTAAGTTTCAGTACGTTTAAAAGTTACAAGTGGGACTCACAACGTTCCGTTCGCTGGAACCAGGATGCACAGCGCGAAGAAGATCAAAAGCGCATGACAGAGTTGGTTTCCTATTTGGCTCGACAGCGGGCTCACACGCCACAAGAGAAAAGCGATAGCAAAAAAAACCAAAAGAAGTAAGACTTTTATGATGGGACAGGAGCCTATCATTAAGTAATGAGCTCCTGGATGGGATTATCATTGCTTTTTTGGTGCAGTGTACTCTTCGACAGGCAATTTCATTCTAAACACCAGTAAGAGATTTTACAGCCATTAAGTTAGCTCAATCTTTATCTGTCTTGTAGTTTGTAGGAGGCATTTTCTCTAAGTTGGACATTCAGTTTCGTGCGTCACAGCAGGCCGTTGTATCGAAGACACAGTCCAGCGGGCCACCAACAGGAAACAGGTACGCTCAAGTCTAAAGAACGTCACTCAAAATGTGATGTTCTCTTACAGTGATCAGTCCTGTCTCGCAACGATACTATTGTATTTGGTTGGGACACTAGCCGCGACGAGACTAAGGGCCTGGTGCCTGTTGATTAGTGAATGATACAGGCCAGCTTGTTCGAAGTTGGATGACGCTATCCACTAAATAAATCCCAATACGGTGAATGGTGCTGTACGTTTTCTTAAGACTTATCCGCTGGATATTGTTAGAAGTAAATTCTCTACCACTCGTTGTTAGTTTGGTCGACTCTTCTTTAATTTCTTTTCTTCTCAAGTTGTTAAAACGGGGACTAGCTTCAATATATCAGGGAAAACTAGAGTCTCCGCTTATAAAGGTGACGTTGCAGATGACATTTCTAAGCCGTCAGTCCTCTTGTGTCGTCATCGTACCATCTCAACTAGCGAATCACGCTTGACTACGTATTACAGTTCCCACATACTGAGTATGCACTTAGGGTTGTTTACGCAGTTACAAAATCAATTTCTACCTTAATTTTCATATCTTTACGGTTGAGATCGGCCAGAACAGAAACGAGATCGACAATATAAAAATTACAAATAACCTTGGTTCAGAGTATTATTTATATCTGAAAGTGTATCTTAGAGAAAATCACCTTTAAAGATTGTTACATAACATTTGCATTTCTTGTTACAGTCAAAGAATTCGAAAGATCCAACTGAAAGTAACCACGTGATGACATGAAAAAGAAATACAATTTGAAAGGCAATTTAACTTATTCTTCGTTGTTGGTAATAATATTCAATATTCATTTTTAATATGATGTATGCAATTCTTATAGAATGTGTGTTTAATAAAAGGTGCTTGTTATTTCCGACAGATTTCTGTTTACTTTTTTCTCTCTTCTCGTGGTAATTAACCGCTGAAATAGGGACGATGTGTTACATTCTATGCTTTCTGTTCTCCGCTCTCATAGGTTTTTTGGGGCAGGAAAAATTACAGAAATATTAGCATAATTGGTGTTTATTGAGGCAAAATGTGTTACAAAATTGATGCTGTGTTATCATAATCTTTTCGAGAAATAGAACTTACTGAATAGGAGTTGCGTTATCCTCGCTTGGTGAAAAAGGGGACTTTCCTACGACTCAGACCCTCAACTCCCACGTGTTGAAGGGTTGAACAGTGAGGCATCCTGTCACTTTTTCGAGTTAATCGCCTGAAGGAGAACACCACCTGTGAAATCATACAGACAGCTTCAAAACAACATATTGGAGGTTATGTAACAGAGAGCTGCAGCAGAGGAGGGGAATAATACCAAATTTCCACTCAAATTGTCGCGATTCCTGTGCATCAGATGTATTACATCTTGGGACAGTAAATATGCTTTTTGATTGGTTTATTTGACCAAGGTGTATAAAAACAATCCTTTGACGAAGTTGCGTCATTTATATAGGCTACTTGTTCCGCGTGATTCTGTGAGCAACCAGTCATTCAAGCGTGCGGTTACTGACTATAGCATAATTTGAATAGGACACAGGCTAATTACTGGTGTCTCTTACTTTGTCAAAACAACATTTTTTCAATGATGTCTTCATTGATTTTACATCGAATATCTCGTCAAGTTATAGAATGTGGGAAACGATCGTACAGATTAGAACCCACAATAGCAAAATTTAGTTTTTCTCAAACTGGTACTCACACAACTCAGGTTCAAGCAAGGACAGAAGTTACCTCGGCAAATCGAGAAGTAATATTCTCTGAAGGGAATGGAAAGAGCGTAACAGACTCTGAACTAACTTTCGAGTGGAGTCAGCTTCAGACTGCCTACCAATCTAAACGGAATGAGGATATTTTACGCGCAATGTTTGTACTGAAGATATGTTCCTACGACACTTTCGTCCGCAACAGTATGCAGGTAAGTTCGATTCAATACTTCAACTCGAGAGACAGTCGTGAGATTCTTCGAAGTATGTTCGCTTAATCGAGCAACACTCGACGAAAACACGGTCATCGGGGAAAAAATATAAATGGTTATAAAAGAACGTGGGAGAGGGATCGGTACTATTGCGTTATCTCGATTCGATTTCAGATTTTGGGGTGAAATATTGAGCACGTCTGAGCACATTTGCATAACCAGTTACTGAAAATTTATCGTTTTGATTCGCGACAAAATTATCAAGATCTACTGGGTGCTAATATCGTTTCTGGTCAAAGCAATAAGATTTTCATGCAAAGGACATTGGTTCGATATTAAAGGTGTCTTGATTGCAGCATTTTCAACGTGAGTGTCCAAGGTCGGCAGACGAAATAGGCGGCTTGACCCGTAGGTCGTGATGGGTCTCCCCCAGCAAAACGTTATTTTATTTTTTTTTTTAATAAAGCGAACTTATTCAGATGAATTTCATGTGACATTTCCTCGGGGAAATCTTACAGCCTAATTACACGCTAAGTAATATTTAGATCACGAAATAACTCGAGTAGATAACGTAACTTGGCCACCGTTAAGAGATTCTGAAGCAGACGTTTCGAGCGTTAGCCCATCGCCATTCACTCTGACGGAGGGCTTACGCTTGAAACGGCAGCTTCATAAACTCTTTAAACTCAATTTACATCACCAACTCATCTGTTATGCACCCCATCGACTCAGCACCACATTTTCTTCGGGAACTCTACACCCTCGTTTTCAATATTCAGATCACTTTGTTAGCATCATGGCTGTCATTATAATACGTTTTCAAGGCACTAACGTTACGAAAGGTCGCCTACTGAAACCTTTGAGTTCAAAAGAGGATTTTGACGAAGCAATTAGAGACAGTGCTTCGCATTCGGATAAGAATGAGGACGACTTTATTTAGTGTCTGAATTTGTATCACCTTGTGTTTCTCTGGAGCCACTGAACACACCAGCAAATAGATTAGACGGACCATAAACGGGCGAGACAAAGTTAAATTGGCTCTTTACAAGAAGAGTTAACCACTGAAAAAGTGACAAACAAATGACAGTAGACCGTTCGACGATTCATTCCAACTCTTAACAAGGAATAGTTACCGTAAAGCCATCGACACTGTCATAAGGAGCTCCGTAGAATTAGTAAAATCAGTCTCGTTGTATTTCCACAATCCGATCCAAGTCATAAGTTGAAATAATCGTGAAAGAGTCGTGGCGGAGAGGAATTCAGTTTGCAAGGGACCTTCAGACGAGACAGACAGCAGACAAGACGATAGCATCGTTCTTTACCCTGCAGTTTTCTTACATTTTTCTAATAAACCCGTTAAATACCAGGTGAGGGGAAAATCAGCTCAATATCATTTACAAGAGACCATGAGGTCCTGTCAATCCGCATAACTTTCTAATCAAGTTTCTTTAGCATTGTGCTTATTTATTTTCTTTCTCGGCCTTTCGTTTTGATTCTTGGTGAAAAGAAAACATTGGGGTGACACCGTTACGTGAATTTTGTAATGCGTGACGTGACTGCAAGTAAGGGAGCGTTTAGGAGGTCGTTCAGGCTATCAGTTTTTAAGATTATAAAACGCAAGATTTCTTTCGCGCGAAAGTTGATGAGGGCAAGTTATAAAACAATTGGTCCATGCTTTTAACTGTGCGTACATCGAGGAATGGATGCACCACTGTGATTTTCACGACTGACAAGCCCAGACGTTACGTCGTCAGTGGACTTTGAAATGGTTATAGCTATCCGTGACCATCCTGTTGCAACACGCTCTGTACCTCGAAACTGAGGTCACTTAGCTCTGAAATAATTGGCTCCGAAATAATTTTCTCGAAACGTCTTTTATAGGACACATTATCCGCAGACAGAGAATTCGTTTCGTCCAAAGTTTTACAGTCGATCGTCGCCATGTAGTTCACCCTTCGCCACCTTCGGCTGCTGCCACGGGGACACAGTTTCCGACGAAGAAGTACGAGGGCCCCACTGAAAACCGCTGTGGCGAATTGGGTTCCCTCGTTAAATATTATTATTATTATTATTATTATTATTATTATTAGCATAGTGTTCCTCTGTAAGCCAATTGGGTGGAAAACAGCTAGAGTTTTCATGACCGTATTGCAACGTCTCGTGTTGTTAACCCTTTGCCTACCATGATCCAATGGTGAATTCTCCCCTCTAGCAGCTACAGATTTTCCTTGAAAATTTGTTTTGAGAATTCAGTATTCGATCAAATTGACCACTTCTATCTGATACCTTTGAGTATTCTCATCACCTGTGTCATGGATAATGTATAGATATCGTAATGAGAAATTGCATGTTAATCACTTCTTGGAGTTAAGGTTGAAGGAGTTGAGATGGGAGCTGACTGTGAGGTCTGAAAATAAGGGTTCCTTTGGCATTCTATAATTTTTGATACACATAGACTCTCGAAAGAAATGATCACATTCTTGGCAGGAGGGGTGGGCTAGTACAAATGGAGATGGGGTCAAACCTCCTTGTGAACCTGAAAAATGAGGGACTGCAGAAAATTCTGGGATCATTTTCGAGGGGTCACGTCTTTCTGTATATTACATTTTCCTTTCTACAAAAGAAAACAGCACTTTTAAGGGGGGGGGAGGGTCACATTACTTAAGCACTGGTACAAACAGGACAAATGGAAATTTTGCAGAGGAAAATGAAAGTGCCCTACCCCCAAACAATAAATGGCCAGTTTCTGGTTTTATGGTCAGACAAGAGTAAATACTCTTCCTTTTGTCTTCATTAGCATCCTTAGGGCAGGGCTGAGTATAACTGTCTATTTTTCTTTTTATTTCAACAGCTTATGTCTTTAGGTCGATGGGTGCTGGGAAGAACACTGTTTGAATTTCTACTACGCAATACCATGTATAGCCAGTTTGTGGCTGGGGAGACTCTACCAGCTATACAGAACACAATAAGAGAGCTACGTCAATGTGGAATAGGAACAATGTTATGTGTCCCTAATGAAGAGGATCTTTCAACTGATTATGATAACTTTAGAGATAGGTGAGCTTGTTTTGACCTGCGTTTCAGAGAGTCAACATCCACAGTTGTAACAGTCTCAGCTGCAACTTTTATGATATTTTTAGGATCATTGCAATATAACAACTATTCATGGAAGTGGAGGTGGCTGGTGGTAGATATTTATCGAGCTGCAAAGCCAGTGAGATAAAATAGCACAACAAGATGATTTTAACTTATTCATTCCCACAGGGATTAAAATATTTTTGGACGCAAATCTTGCAAGAGTAACTTAGAGGTGAACAGCAAAGGACAATCAGAGTTTAAAAAGCCAATCAAAGTGCACCTCCATGCTAGCTATCCACTGTTATAGTATATGGTATACTAACATTTGTTATCTATTACAAATTATTGATATCTCCCTAATCACTATGATTGTATTTACTGCCAATTTATTTGTTGAAGTATATCTATACATACTAGACAATTTAGAGCAATTAAAAATAATGGTTAATTCGAGGAAAATTACTTCTACAGGGAAGCTATGTTTGATAGAAATGCAAATGCCATCTTTGACTGCATTGGAAAGACAGGTAACTGATAACTTATTAAAACAACTTAACAATAAGTCTCTAAGAGAGGGGTGTAATATTTTATCACCATACACACTGAGGCCCTTCATTTAGGTTGGGTGAGACTTGCTGTAATAACCTCCACACTGCTTTTCTGTTACCCCATCTACAGGGTTAACTTTGAATTTGATGGTAGGCCCAGGGACATGCAATAAATAAATTTTTTTTTTCTAAAATAAAATTCCTTTTCTTGCTCTATCTTGCCATATGTCAGTTCTTACAGCTGTTTTAAATCTCAACACCTTGTTTTGGTCACAACTTTTAGAAGAAGGAGGCTTTTCACAAATGAAAGTGACAGCCATATGCAGCCCTATGCTACTAGTAAGTGGCTCTCAGTCAGACAGCAAATAAGTATGATATTAACTTTTGCAAAATTGAAAATGTCTGTTTGCATAGCTCCAAATGAATAGTCATTGAATAGTCCTCAAAAGTTTGTTATTTAAAAAGTAAAGCTTGAAGGATGTAAGCAAATAAGTTTGAATTGTTTTGTGGGACCATTTAATTGTTCTGCTTGATATCCTTATTTTTGCCTGTTCTACAATGGAATGCTGCTGAATATTCTGCATGTTCTTTTACCCTAATATGCTAAAAGGGCATAGTAGTATAACCATCAATCAGACAGATGAAATTTGAAGTCTATGGCAAAATTACTTTATTATTCTACATGAAAAAAACATACTTGTCTGGTGTGTATATAAATCATTTTAACATTTTTGTTATTATAAATGTTTAAGAATGTGTTGAACAAGCACTTAGCACCATATGAGGCCAGTACAGAGGCACTTGAAGGACTCGACATTCCAAGTTTTGCCAAAGGGTTTGATGGGAAGTTAAATGTGAGTTAATTAACCTTTGACCTTTAATTCTCAGGGGAGACTAAGCTGGAACTTCTCCTCAAATTGTAGTGCATTGTCTAAGAAAAACCTGATGACAATGTATACAAAGTTATCTAGTTTTAGTTTTAACGCATGTATATCAAAAAATTTTCTCATATAATAATAAAAACAAGAAAATTTGTATACATACCAGTGAGGAGGAAAGTGAATCATTTGATCGCATGAGTTTATAGATGATCTTGTCTTTAGTAAAAGGTTTGTTGACTCTATTCCAACACTAGAACAGTAAGGATTCAATTGGAAGGTTATTGATTAGAAAATCAACATTTAAAGAGAGAGGGATATGTAGTTTTTGATGTAACTGTATGTCAACTTACTGCTCTGATCTTATTTTGCTGTGTTACACTTGATTTCAGGTGCCCGTTTTAAATGACAATCAAAATGAGCATCTCTTCAATGTAATGAAAAGACTAGATAAATTTGCTGAGGTAATTACTTTTGTGGTATATACATCTTGCGATTTTCAACATAACATACTTGTCAAAGCTTTACCATGTAATTTAAACTACAAGTTATCACAATATATTTTTTAACCCTTTAACTCCCTTGAGTGACCAAGACAGAATTTCTCCTTACTATATCTGTACAGTATCATGCAGACAAGTAATGAGAATAAAGAAAAATATCAATTATGGGATTAACAATTGATCTGATAACAAATTCTCCTAACTAACATAATGAGAACTGTTTGGCAGATAGCAAGTAGAATTACCAATGAGATCTTGGGAGTTAAAGGGTTAAAAGTCATGAATTCAAAACTTTATTTTTAGACATTTCTGCTGATGATTATTACCATTATGTTGACTATTACCGATTAAGGCCTTTTTCTTAATTTCATTTATTTCATGCTTAAATTATATCTAATCTACATACATGTATTGACCAATAAGGGCACACATGGTATCTATTCAATAATTTTGTAAATAATTTGTAATGTTCATTTGTCAGGCATGCATAAATTGCAATGTGCGATTGGTGATCGATGCAGAGCAGACATATCTACAGGCAGCAATCAATCAGTTGGTGTTAGTACTTCAGTACAAATACAACAGAAACAACCCTTGGGTTTACAACACCTATCAGTGCTACAGAAAGGTTAATTTACTATCTTAGTGAAACTCAGAAAACTGTTAACTCTGGAGATATTCATGAAATTTCACTAACAAACCAATCAGGCTTGAGAAAGCATACAGTAACATAAGGGTAAATTAATTTGTGGTTTGATTACATGTCCTCATTTGCACTCTGATTGGTCTTTACAAAGCAATAATCATTTCATAAATATTTCAGGTGTTCATGGTTTTCTAAAGTTGACAGAAAATTTTCTGTGATATGGAAAGTAAATAACAACATTTACCACTATAGGATATGAAATAAAATTTCAACAATAATTTTAGGTGAGAAAAGTTTTTAACATATTTTTCTGTGGAGCAGGGGGTAGCAAATTTACAAAATTTATTGCAAATTTATAGGAGACAGTAATTTAAAGATATGCCAGCAAAATACAGTACAGGGCTAGGAAAGAATACAGGCAGAAAAAAAGTGTCAATGTGCAATGTTCCCATAAACCTTCAAAATTAAGCAACATTTCAGCAAAACACTGCATTTTATCAATTTAATGGTGTACAGTAATAACCCACATAGGCTAGTGTTCTCCCAACATTGCAGGTGTGTTACTACATGGTAAACTGATAGAAAATGCAGTCTATTGCCTTTACAAAATAAACTTTCAATTTCTATGGTTAACAAACAACAGGTTTTTGACCAATCAGGGTGCTTGTAGATGCTCCACTATTTTGTTGCATTACCTAGTATAACACAATTTTATAATTTACAGGACACTTATGACAGAGTGATGGCAAATTTGGAATTGATGCAAAGACTAGGTTTCCACTTTGGTGCTAAGATTGTTCGTGGAGCATACATGACAATGGAGAGGAATCGAGCAGCTGATATGGGTTATGATGACCCAATACATAACAGCTACGAGGATACTTGTAGAATGTATGATCAAGTGGTAGACACTTTGTTACACTTGGCAAGTCGGACTCCAGCAGAAGTCATGATAGCCTCTCATAATGAAGAATCAGTCAAACTTGTTGTTCAAAGGTATTTCTGAAAAGTGCATAATTTTATGCTACTCATTGAAAACAAGGTGTTCAAGAGCTCTCATGAACAGTAATGACATTTGCTGACAATTCACCTCCGAGCTGTGTTTGAAATAAAATTTTCATGAATCTTTGTCACTACCTTGACATTTTAATGTAGACATTTTTTTTATCTCAGTATGTTGGGAACACTTTCCCCCTAAAATTGACCAATGTGCCACACCATGAAAGCAGGGCTTGGGGTGAAATTGCATATTCCAGCTTACACCATGCATGTGCAGCATGTTGGTATCTTGTCAATATAAGAGATGGTAGGATAGCTATCAAGGGGATAAGGAATTTAACATGGCAAGTAAGAGAATGGTGGTGAAGATGGTAACAACTTAATGAGGACATTGACAATGGCAATGATGCTGGTTGTTGATAGAAACCCATAATGAGTAATATGCAATAAAAAGAGTCGCAATACTGCAAGTAAATTTGTGTACACACCAGCTTTAACCAGAAGTTATTTAATTTGATAACATCTACTTTGCTGATTAAATGTAACATACATGTATATCAAAATTTTGGAACAGAATGAAAGAACTTGGCATTGCACAGGATGCAGGGAAGATTTCATTTGGACAACTGTATGGGATGTGTGACCAGGTCTCTTTCTTATTAGGTAAGGGACAAACAGTGACAGACAACATATAAAGCCATTAAGGAAAAGTCTGTTTAACCAAAGTCTAAAGCTTGGGATATGCATTAGTGTTGAAAACATTTAGGTTTATCATTGAGAAATCTGAATTTTGTTGATTTAATGTGATAGGGGAAAAGAGTGTGTCAAGGTAATTCCTAGTCAAAGGCTGGGTTAAATTACCTTCATTGAAGTACTGCCATTGTTACCAATACTTTCCTGGGTCTGCAAGTAAACAAACAAATAAGTGAGCAAACCCTTTAAACTGAGGTGAAAATGAATCCAACAGTGCAAGATTGCAAAAATCAAAATGGACTTAAGTCAGGAATACCTTTCATAAATGATGGCATAAAGTCAGAATTCATGTGGGGATGCATTGCTGTAAATTGTGAAGAGGCCTTTCCTCCTAAACAATGAGTGGAAGGTCTAGCCAATATGAGAGTGATTTTCCATCCATGTTTTATAGTAAAAAACTCTGTTTAATTTCTCCTTTACTAACACAGGGCAGAAAGGCTTCAATGTGTACAAGTCAGTACCTTATGGCCCTGTTGGTGAAGCACTTGCTTATCTTGGGCGCAGAGCCACTGAGAATAGAGATGTTATCAAAAGAACAGAAAAGGAAAGATCTCTCTTGTGGCAAGAGTTAAGAAGAAGAATCACTTCCCTAGCTCATTAGTGTGAATAATGCTATCTTCTGACTAATGTTATTAATTTCTTTCATTGGCATAGCTGTCCTTTTAAGGTAGTGAGGAATAATCAACATATATTGTTCATGAATGAGCCAAAAGTTGGAGAGGAAATATAAAAATAATGGCATGGGTGCACAGTTTTGGTGTTACCACTTTGAAAAGCACTCTCAAGGGTTTGATCCTTGATGCAGGCAAAATCATGACTGACAGGAATTTGATGTTACTCAAGAACACCTTTATAGTCGGTCTTTTCTGACTCCAAATAGCTCTTTAGCTCAGAGGAAACATTTATAGAAAAACAAATTTGTATTCAATGGAAAACTTCCATTAATAGCTAGATGTTTTTAGTATATCTAGTGGCCTCTAAAACAAAAGATTCCCTTGAAATTGTACCACACCCTTAGCCACAAGCAATGCTTCTTTAGACAAATGCTAAGAATACTTCTACTCCAATTGAGTAATGGGAAGTGAAATTATCCCACTGGAGTTCCACTTTTAGGTCAATATGCTATTCATTTCATATCAAGAAGTGTTAACTGAATTTATGGCCTTTCCTACCATTGTGGGGCTTTTCTATGTTTCTCCAAAGGTAGCCAGCTGTAATTCATGCTTAAAATTTAAAATAGGTTTTGAATTTACTCGCTCAAGAACTTCATTAAGGGCTACTTTTTTTAATAGATTGCATCTCATTGTAGGTTAAAACTGAAGGAATCTACATTAAAACAACTGAGATTCATGCCAAGCTACAAAAACTTACATTTATACTAGGCTAGCTTAATAGTATTTTGTACATTTTGGCTTGGCAAGACACTCAAAATCCCCTCCATTTAAGAGTTTAACCCTTTGACTCCTTTGAGTGACAAAAATAGAATTTCCCCTTACAATACCAATACAACATCAGGCAGATAAGTGATGATAATAAAAAAAATATATTTAATTGGGGATTATAAGTTGATCAAATACCAAATTCTCAAAATTAACATCACATGAACTGTATGGCAGACAGTGAGGGGAATTAGTTGAGATCTTGGGAGTTAAAGGGTTGAATGGGCAGTTGATGCAAGTGCCTGATATAACTGTATGGTACAGCTGATGAAACAAATTGTATAAAAATGGCACTGCTGTGTCACACAAGTAAAATGTATTAAGGAGACAATCCCTGTATAGCTTTCATAATAGTTAAGCTTTAGAACAAATTAATCATATTCATTGCACATTGTATGTGGTTTTATAAATATTGGAACTACAAATAGAACAGATTATTAAATATTGAGAGCTTGATGTTGTTTTAAGTCACATGTTACAATTTGTTTTGTGAACTCCCTAGAGACCTGTTTGTTCATGAATAAGGCATTAAAACTTTGTGAATAAAACAATATAATGCTCTCAAGAAATGATCATCTTTATTTAATCACTAAAGGATTTAAAAAGATGAGGGCTTGGGTTGAATTATTTTCACATGGGGAAGAGCAATGTAATCGTACATCATGGATCCAATAATTTTAAGTGAATGTAAATAAACAATTTTATAGCATCCTATCCAGCCTCATGCCTTGCATTGTGCTATTGCTAACTACTACTGACCAACAGAAAACTGCTGTCCCTGGTTTTACAGAGGCAAACACACAGAAGTTTATCCAGAATAATACACAGGCTTTTTTCCAGTGTGCTAAGAAAGTCCTTTTCATTCTTGGGAAAAAAGACAAATAAAGTACAAGAGCCAAGATGAAAGTTATGCAGGATCCTTTATAGAGACATTAAATAGTTTTTGCACCACAACTCCATTTAAAAGAAAATATGAGCAAGAGAGGTACATGCCTGAACACAATACATCATTTTTAAAAAAGTGGAGAGCATTTATTGTGAGAAAATAGGATAATTATGTGAAGAATTCTCTACAAGGATTAACTTGACCAGATATTGTTTGAGCATAAAAACACTGCAGCTGCTTTGTTTAAAATAAGAGAAGAGGAACAGTATGTTTTGGTAAGCCATCAATTTTCAGGACAACGGCACTACCTTTCTAGGAACTATGTATATGGTTGGATGATAACTAATTAAAAGTCGTGGAAAGAGCTACAAGGTAAATGATGCATTCTTATCCATTACCTCAAAAGTGGCCTGATTTGTTCATAAGATTAAAGTTCAACACTGCCAGACTAATTATTCACATTCTGATAACTGAGAACCGTGTTGAAATGAAAAGCTTTTACTAACTTTTTTAAAATTACACTCATCTGTAGGGCCTGTATTTAAGAAAGACAAGAACTAATGAAGGCAAGGCAACTTATTAAGAATTATATCTCTGAAGATTAACAAATAATTTTTATGTACATAGATTGGAATGAGATCCCCCAATTTCAGGGAAAAAATTGCCATCTTGTGGATTCCAACAAGAAAAGGAATTTACAATCATCCCACAATTTTTCTTAATCATAACAAATACAGGTACATCTTAATCTTGAGGTGCAATAGGTTTCTCAAGATGCATGGTGAAACAATATGTGCATGGATACATAAATACTTGAGGAAAATGTACATTGTAGAAAAATTATTTTTGAAATACATCAACCATTTAAAAAAAAAAACAAACAAAAAACTCAAATGGTGGTACTGGATCAGAAATAATTTACTGAAGTAAGAGTTAAAAAGGTATTAATCCACCTCTTCATCATTATCACTGGATTCTATATCTGGAACTTCTCCCTCCATCACCATCTGTGAAAAGTTCCATCACAAGAAAGTATTAAAAACAGATATGTACTAGATATGTGGTAAATTTTCCACAAGATTACAAACTGAGAGAAACTGTTTAGGGTCAGATGCAAAGAATATCTTAACTCTTCCAGTACCTGGTATAGAGAAGCAAAATACTCAGCTTGACCAGCAATTTCTTCAAGGCTTTTGTTTCTTTCTCTGACTTCTTCTAACTCCTTATGAATCTGAGTTAAAAACAAGAAAGTTAACCCTTTAACTCCCAAGATCTGATTGTTAATTCTCCCCTACAGCTGCTACACATTTCCTTGTAAATTAGTTATGAGAACTTGGTGCTAGATCAAGATAACAGCTTCTACCTGATAAGTTTGAATATTCTCATCCATTGTTTGCTGAATAATGTATGGATATTGTAGGGAGAAGTTTTATGTTAATCACTTCTGGGAGTTAAAGGGTTAATCAAAAGATTCAGTCTGCATATGGAAAATTCTCATTCCCCCACCTTTATATATACCTTGCAATCTGAACATCTGCAGGTAAGTGCACATTCAATGAAATGAAATGACCAAATCTTAGTTGTGCAAGTTCATGGTTACTATCTGACAATTTTATAAATTTTAAATGAAAGTTTTATGTATTTACCCTTTCATTCTCCTCCAATGCCTCTTGTAGAGCCAGTCTCCTCTCCTCTGCCAAAAGCTCCCAATATCTCTCTGGTGGTGGATCTTAAGTCAAACAAGTTACCAAGTTAATAAAACAGACAAAAAAAAACAGGTAACTTAGCAATGTAGTGAGAAATAAAAAGGATAGCACTTGGTGGAAAATCCAGTATTAATAAATACATCACAGTATATACAGAATTTGATCAAGCTACCATACCCTAAGAACAAACTGAGACATAATCTGACAAATCATACATACTGTAACAACAAGTTATAGGATTAGAACATTACAAAATCACATTGCATTCTACATACAGCAGCCACTTGCCTGAAATCATCAATGCTACTGCTTCATCAAACGATTCCCCATGAGGCGATTTTGTAATCTATAAGACAAAATACCATTTTTGATTCAATATTTTTCAAAAATCAAGGGGTGTTGGATGTCACAAACTTGTGAATTGGTGGACTGGAAGTAAACAACCTTCCTCTTAAATTTTGAGAAAAGGACAAAGGAAAAGCTTCACTGCACTATTCAAAAATATGCTCAAAATACTCATTTCTGAGTGTTGTAGCATGTGAAAACAGCTTCTTCTCATCACCCCTGGTCAAAGACATTGTCAGAGGATCAATGGCTTGGAGCCAATGAGAGGAAAGGGTCTTCACAGGCTGATAATGGCTTGCTTCGTAAAGCAGAAGCTATGAATAAATCAATTTAGCAAAGGCAAGCCATATGGTTGTTCAGTAATAATTGTTAACTTTTAGTGGCGTTGGGTCCTAATATTACTTACAAGTTACTGTCCAAACCTCTAGAAAATCGTCTCAAAGCAACCCAGTTTGATAGAGATAAGAGATAACCCAACCTATGGAAAGCTTCAATTTTTTCCACCAAGCCTTCCCCCCTCTCCTCTCTCAAAGATGACAGGAAAGTGAGCACCAACTTTTCCATTGCAGTAAATTAAAATGTGAAGGATCAAGTTTTTTTGTCAGCTCCTTTGAAAACTGTTAGAAGGATCCAAACTGTAATGCCTTCTTTAAAGTAAAGATCCTTACCCCTTCACAAAATCCTGCATCTTCGAACAGGGTGCAGGTGGTGTGGGTTAAAAGGAAAAGGATGGTATGTTCCCACTCACTCTGATTTGAAGGACCCTTTCACTTTGAAAATATAAAACTATTGCCGTGTTTATTCGATTAAACGCTGCATTTTAGAGCAGAAATATTTATAAATGCCCCTCTCCGTTTATTCAAATAATAGACTAAAAATGCACACAGCGATCATCGCTTTGGTGGCATGATCGCAGTTGGAAATTTTGAGTGAACCAGACGCAAATCCTTTTGAATGTACTAGTTCTGATGTCGAGAAAGCATATCCAACATTAGATCTTTATTCACTTTATGTATCGCTGTAGGATTAACATGGAAAGTGTGAAATCGTGAATCGTAAAAGAACGCCGCCCTCAAACAAACGCCACACTCGAATCACGAAAATTTAATCAACGCCACAGCGTTAAATCGAATAAATACGGTAATAAATTTGTTAGGAACGCAAGGAATATATATACATTAATTTTTGATTGTACCTCTCTGGCTGAGCTGACAGCAGTGTCAGAATCCGAGGAATCGGCAAGTGTTGAAGAACCGTTGCCTGATTTGTGAAGAATCTTAATCTTCTGCTGTTTGAGTTTTAAAGTTGGTGATGATTTACCCTTCTTAGATTTCTATGAAATATCAAGGTTAAACATACTTATGTAAAACGAATATAAAATAAGAACAATCAATTCTTCGGAAAAAAAAAAAGGCTGATAACTACGAGCGATAGAAGGAGAGAAATATTGAACTTCAAGCTTCGAAATTCAACATGATTTCTTCCTTCCACAAACAATGAAAATTGGTACAAGCTTAATCCTGCTCGGCCAAAAGAGACGTCAGTGTTGATTTTTATTAATTTTACAATAAGAAACTGGCTAAGAATTGGCTGCAATAGGAAAACGCGTGGACTATCAGGACACAAGGTATTTCTCTAAGATAAATATACCGTAAACCTGCTTGTTTACTGCTTATTAATTTACCATTTCACTATGCCTAACGACGCCACGGCTCCCAACGAGCGTGCCATTGCCGCTTGCAGCTGGTTGGAGAACTTGAAGAGTTTTTCTCTTCTCTTTTTCGACTCCGCTCAGTTTCTGGAAAAAATCAACGCTCAATTAGTATCGCACCGTTACTTTTTCGTTCATCGAGGAACTTTTGTTCAAAACATGCAACATTCAAAAACAATTACCGTTTTCCTTGTTGGCGACGAATACAAACTCGTCGAGAAAGACTTGGGTTTTAATTTTCCTTCACCCACGCGCGAAGTTCGCGGCGGAGAAAACAGCACAGAAGCAACCTTTGAGTGATTTCTCATCGTAAAAACTTCTCCTGGATTTGGAGAACAATTCTCGTCACAGATAAAACTACTTTTAGGGGTATCACTGTCGAATGGAAGCTTTTCAATTGGCAACGCAAATGAAATCTCGTCACCTTCATTGTCCGCCATGGTTTTAAACCTCGCGGGTAAATTCCAGCGTGCAATGACGAAAGAGTCACATGACTACCATATTAGGAGAGGTTGGTGCTCAGTCTCATTCTGCTTTATTCCGGTTTTAACAGATTTCTTTTGGTTTTTTTTTACATTTTCTCGGCGCGAGTTTAACAAATGAAGGGAGGCCTTTTTGAAAAAAAAATAATAGACAAAAAATTGAATAACGACAATGATGATGATTAACATGACCATGGTGATGATGACGATAATATGCTGGTAAATCATGAATGGCGCGAAGTCAAGTGGGGTTATACTGCGACTGGGGAGGGGCGGGGGGAAATAGGCGTGCTGAAACATAATGAAAATCAAGTATTCAATAATTTAAAGAGGGAAATCAATCAAACTGAAGGTGGAGATGAAAATTTATCATTGAGAAGCTTACTTAGAATGCAAACTTCTATTAAGTGAAAAACATATGCCTTTTTTAAGTATTTTAGTGTTTTAAGAGAGTTGTTGGCAGGGCAGCGGCTGCACTAATAGTTTACGTTCCAACCAGTATATCAAGGCCGAAAAAAAGCGCCCTTTTGAAGAGAGGTATTTGTTAGCCGGTGGTCATTGGCATGTAACACAACTGCAAATCATTTGGGACCAATTTCACCCTGACTCCCACGTTCTGTCTAAATATAGAAGTTTCCAATAAGAGATAATTCACCTTTGTTGCCTTTGCAGAAGTACTGATATTGATTGCAAAATGTTAACTTCACAAGATGGGGTTAAAATAAGTCTTATTGATAGCGATCATCCTATAGGGTAAAAACAAGAAAAATTGGTAGGAATCTCTGTAAAAATGAAACAAGAGATGGAGTAAGTTTCTACCAACCCATTTCCAACCACCACTACATTTAGAAGGCTGCTAAGTTTATTTATTCATTTCTATGTAACAAAAATCGCCCTCATCAACCATATAAAGTGTTAGATAAGAATTGAAAGAGCTTGCAACCTAAGGAAGTTCAGGATGAATGGTTCAAGATGAACAAACAATGACCCTGCTCAATTCAAGTGATTGGGTCACAATTCTACCAGAACTTGACAAAACAGAGTTAAAAGTGTACACTTAGTTTTCATAAAAAAACATATATCGATTATTTACATTATAACAAGAATTTAATCTTTACTAATTACCAACCACCTAAATATGGCTAATTCAAGCTAGGTTAACATCTCAATCAAAGCTTTCCATTAACAACACACCAAGGTACAAAAACGATTGCCTCATTTATGGGTTAATCAGTGCAGATTAAGACTTGAGTCAGAAACTTAGGTGGATGGTTTGCTACATTACAAAGTTAACACAATTTTTTCAGATAAAGAACATTTGGAAAAATACTTAATTGAAGTGCAAATATATCTGGAAAGTAGGAAACAAAAGCACACAACCTTTGGGTTGGTTTTACAGGATCCATTCATTTCATTGTCTAATAAAAAAAACCTAATTACAACTCCCTCTCTAAGCCATACTAAACAGAGAATTTTTCTATGGTTAATGTCACTATATATATATATATATACTTGAACTCTGCTAGAAGGAAACAAAGGATTGTATAGTACTGTCTTATTGTCACTATAAAAGTATAAGAACACTACAGAAGTCCTTAGTTTGATCTACCCACAAAAACCTTTTTGTTAATATTTCTTATTTCTCTATCAATGAGTAAACCCAATGCCTTTGGCAAAAGTATTTCATAAAATTACAAATTATGCACTGCTAAACAAATTGCATCTTTTTTAAAATGTTAACACCAATGTGTAGTATAATTTGAGTGTTTGAAAGGAAAAAAACCTTGGGAGACATTTTGATATAAAGATTTCATACCAGTTATGTCTACATTATGGGTACAGTGTAACTGTAATCCATATTTCAAACCTAACTCTGTAAATTTCTGGCTAATCTATCTTCGATTGGTAATGAAGAAGTTGAATCTTTATTGATCAGTTGCCATCTAAAGTTAAGAGATCTAAACATTATTTTTAAGTAGTATTATACAAAGGAAAACCATTACAGAGGCAATCATTGAATGAAGAGGAGCAATGGCCTGTAAAAATGACCACTGTGGAACTCAGAAAACCATGAACATACAACTAAATTGTACTCATAATATTGCTAGAATACAATATACATTTGGGACAGTTTGACAGAACAATTAACTTCAGACAACAACTGATACTAAATTTTTCACCAAGTACTAAATATGAAGTGGTCATCCCTGGTAATCAATTCATAATAATATCACTGGTTAATGAAATTAGACAACAGAAATAGCATAGATGAGAGTGCGTGTGCTTGCAATTCCATAGACAACAGTGTGCTTATGAATCATGAGATGCACTAGTGTTCATGTATTGTCCTACACTAATCCAACTCCTATTTTTTGCCAATAGTAATGTTCTATAGAGCTAACTGGTTTCTTTCTTTTGAAAACTTAGCTTTTAAGCTTAAATCTACCTCAATTGTTATGTCTTACTGACAACCAAATGATAAGACCCAAGGCACCTGCAACAACAACCAAAATAACTAGGATACAGCACATCTTCTTTCTTGCCGCTTTCTGCAAAGAAAAATTGTTTAACAATAACTTCATTCATTATTTCCAAGTTTAAAGTACTTTTTGTGCCCTTTGATCTCAGCAAAGCATCCACTTAAAAGCAGTTTAGTCTTTGACCCTAATTGGCTTATAGCTGTTGGAGTTAATCCCTATTTTGACACTATGACCCAGCCAGTTCACAAACCATAACATCTTTATCTGGAATCCTAAACTCTAGGTTCCAAACTCCCACCGTTGCAATTTTCCAAAAAAAGCAGACTAAACTTTTTTACTCTGTCTAATACTGTTTACAATCAATGAGATGACAAAAAAAATCCAATAAAACAGTAACTATGATTTCAAAGTTACCAAATTAACAAATCACAGTGGTTTAGCAAGGCCTGTACTCTCATCCACAACTTACAATATTTGTCATCACAGTAGTCAAACTGTTGTGGACTCAGAGGCACAGTTTTGCGAGTCTGCAATCCACTGTCAATTTGTTTTTGTTTTTGTTTTTAACCACAATATCAACATCAAATAAAATGATTCTTTCTGCCCATGACCATTGCCTGACACACTGATGCAAGTCTATACTCTTATAGCAAATAGGCCAATCAGATTGCAACATTACAACCAGTTACAGTGAAAATAATTGTTGTGCACACCTGATAGTGACTAGCTTTCTGTAACTGGACATTGGCATCTTCAACATGGACTGCAGCAGTGTCTACATTTGCCTCAATGCTATCTGTAAGTCAAATAGAGATAGGGCAATTCGAGAGTTAATGGAAAACTAAGGACCTTAAAGAAAATGGTTTATATGTAAAATTGAATTGTTTTACCTATCATGTCACCCTGCTCATACACCATGGTGGCAAGATCTCTGAAGATTTCATTGACACCAACAATATCAGCCTATATACAAGACACAAACAATTGATTGAACTACATGATTGCAGAGATGGCACTATAAACTACATGTAAATGACTTGTAAAACCTCACTCTTTCAAAACCTCTCTTAATCCTTGCTATACTCTATACTCAGTCTGGTCTCCAACATGTACCATTCTACCACTGGTTATTACATGTACGTATTCTTAAGTACTTGGGAACATGCTACTAAGATCTACTTTGCAACATTGATACAGAAACGCTGCATGTTCAAAGATTAGCCTTTCTTCAACAAATCTAAACCCTTCCACTCCCAGATTGCAAAGGGAATTCTTCATACTGTCTGTAATACAGTTCTTATGATGTTATTTCGAAGAATTTGGTATTGGATCAACTAACAATTACCCAAATGATATTTATCTTTATTCTTATCTCTTGTCTTCTTGTCATTGTATTTTTTTTAAGAAGAAATGTCTTGGTCACTCCTGGGATTTAAAGGGTTAAGGCCCATGTGACATTACCTCCAGTTGTCTAATGGCTCTTTCCCTTTCCTCTATCAATTCCACAGAGACCTCTTCTTCTGCTTGTACCTGGAATCCACTGTCAGCTCTAAAAGATATTTACCAAAGAGAGATTAAGTCTCCAGAAAGAGAAAAATAAAAAAGGTAATTTACTGTTAACAACTGAGTTGAAAACATAAATTGACCACCATTAAAGGCTGATGTTTCAAGCATTAGCCCTTGGTCTATTGCTCTGATGAAGGGCTGACGCTCGACGGTGGTTAGTTTACATTTTCAACTCAGTTGTCAACACTTAATTACTCATTATACTCTCCCACTGATGAAGCACCACAGTTTCTTTAGAAACTTACCCCCTTAATTCAAATAAAAAACAGTATTGATTAAATATGTTTGCATTTGATTGGCTGAAAGGCAGGCACAAAATCAATGCACTCCTGGATCCCTTTCAACACTCAAGAGGACATTACCCTTTAATAACATAAGGAAATTAAGCCACCTACCTGTCATTTGAAGTCGAGCTATGCTCATCATTAAATCCACCCATTGGCTATTGGAAAAGAAATTATCAAACAATATTGTTAATCACAATAGCAAAGCCCTCTTGGCTGCAACTAAATTATATAATTAGGTTGCCATGATGATACATAGAAAGAATTTTGCATGTCTTAATTTGTGGCAAAACTTGCTAATTTGGTCACCTGTGTTCAAAGATTATGTAACAACAGTTTCATTACTTCAAGAATTTAGTCTGAACTTAAAGTGACATAGACATTTGTGTAAAAAATTAATTCTTTGAAAAATTTACGAGGACCATTTCATTACCCATTAAATATTAAATATTAATCCATTCATTGAAAAAAAAAAAAACCTGACCACATTTTCAGAGCACACTTACACTTGGGCTTGGCATTGCTGCAGACATTGACCTTGCACGTGAAACAGATTCTCTCTCCTTTTCTGCTGCACTCTGTTTACCCACAGAAGGATGATAACTGACAATTAGAACTGTGTTCAATCCACACAATCATGCACAAATATGTCCTCAATTTGATCATAGAGAAAAATCAAAAATAATTTTTCCATTAAGACTCAAAAATTAATTTACCCTCTGAAGTTGCTGAAAAGTGTTCAAAGCTGTTGAGAAGTTGTCTGCTAACTTCTCTACTTGTATTTTCCTTTGACGCTACAATAAGAAAAAAAAATCCTCTGGTTAGAGGTTTATCAAAAAACTGCAATGTCTATGGTTTTTCTCATGCAATGGGCTACAAATAATGGTAATATTTATCTGGCAATATTTAGAGCACTGACCACTGGACTACTGAACAAAGCCGTGGCATTGGCGTGCCTGCAGCACAGTTGATCATGCATGTTAAAAGTAGTACCTTGTACGGTCGTACAGTCGTACATCCAAATTTTTTCGGCTTGATGGGTTACTACTATTTTGTATAATTATGGGGCTAAGCTCTGCAAGCTCCACTATAATCAGAATGTTACAGATGCCTTTCAGGGTCTTTTTTTTTTCAGAGTATGATTATGTTTTACCTCCACCATGGATTGCCTTCTAAAGACTGCTACAGGGACCAAATATAAATAACCATATCAAATATGGTTGAATACAATTTTATAGGCCAGCAAAATTGGGTCTTAAGTTACTGCAGAAAAAGTTGAGCCTAAAATACACACTCTTTCAGATGGTGATTCTCCAAACAGATGAGGAAGCTGCTTCAAGTAAGAGTGAGTTTCCTTGGCAAGTTTTTGAGTGGCTTGTTCTGTTTGCTGTCTAAAATTTTAAAAAAAATTGAAACTCATTACAAGAGTCGGCACTATCAATTGACAATAATCTGAGGAGAGTAACTGTGACTGTGTTAACCCTTTAACCTATATCCATACATTATTCACCAACAGGTAACAAGAATACTCAAACTTTTCAGGAAGAAGTTGCTGTCTTGATCTAACATCAAGTTCTTGTAACTAATTATCAGAGAAATGTGTAGTACCTAGAGAGGAGAATTATCAATCAGATCTTAACTTACAGTCTGCTCTGCAACTGTGATTTATCCTCTGAAGTTCCAAGTTTGTCCACAAGCTTCTGAATTGTAGTGACTGTGGATTGACACCAAGAAAAAAACATAATAAATTATGTGTCCCAGGAAGAGAAATACCATACAAGCTATAAATTCCTTGAGTTCAAGACACACAGTGGTAAATGTGTGTCTATGTTTCACTGCTGTATGTGAGGTCACAGAATTCTCTAAAACATATGTTGACATATGCAACATTTTGATTACTTTTTAGATATATGGATGTAACATTGGTTGTGAATTTGGATGAGTTTTTAGATGAGTTTTTAGATGACAACACATAACATAAACTGAGTTTGCCTTAACAACAGGCAAAGTGCATTAGTAATCAAGCATGAAGGTGTTACAATCTTGCCATGTGCTTCTCTAACTGGTATAAAGAAATGAAGCTATGTAACATCAATGTCTAATTCAATTCTGTTTTTTTGCTTAATCCTTAGACTCCATCAGGAATTGATTTTTTCCATTCAGTTAAATTTGATATTTTTAAGAAAGTTTGTAACATGCTTGAAGGCCAGACTCAAGTGGATCCTTCAACAAGTCTACTTATTATATTACCACAATTTCAACTTAACCCTCCAGACCAAATTTGTAATTCTCCTTTCTGTCAACCAAACAGTTTTTACGATGTTAATTCAGAGGATTTAGTATTGGATCAACTAATCATCCCCAAATTGATATATTTCTTTTTCTCAACACTTATCTGGTTGATATTATAGTGATATTGTAAGGAGAAATTCTGTCTTGGTCACTCATGGGAGTTTAAGGGTTGACCCCCCAGAGGTGATTACCATGTAACTTCTCTTTAAAGTATTCATATATTACACAGCAAACAGGAAGTGAGCATACTCAAACTCACCAGGTACAATTTATTACCTTGATTGAAAACCTAATTCTCGTTATAAATTTACAAGAAAATGTGTAGTAGCTGAAGGGGAGAATTGACAATCAGATCTTGGGAGTTAAAGGGTTAACATACCATTTTTGTTGATTGCTTGAATATTATTACTAACGCAGCTACAGAGTCTGTTATACTCTGTGGAGCCACCCTTTGATCCTTCAAACAAAATAAACAACTGAAATTATACATAATATAATAAATTTTCCAAAAACACAATTAAGATCACACCAAATAAATTGTTTCTAATTATAAATTTCAAAAGGAGAGCATTCCACACCCCTCCAGAATCAAGTGTGACATAATCCCTGTAACATATGTACAACGACAAGATTAAAAAAAAAAAAGTTCTGCATTCAAAAGTCATTTATTATTGTACTCAGTTAAAAATCAACCATAATCACTACTTAGGTGTACTAGGCTCTGAGTACAGAATAGTATGCAACAATCAGAAATCAATCTGGGATTAAAATACAGGCTGAAACAAAAGCAGACAAGCAGTTCTATTCCTGATCACCTGTGCTGGAGTTTGAAGTATATTCACCGAAGGACATGGTGCTTATTTCCCTTTGCAATGAGGCTACAATAATAGAGATGACAAATAAAAACCCAAAGTCAGGACTGAAAAACTTAAGGTTAATGGATGTGTCATTAAAAAGGATTAGAATACCATAAAATGTAAGTTAATTTCTCAATTTAACAAAATAAATTTTCCACGTCCAAACATATCATTCAGTACAAAACAGCTCAGCAAATATGAACGCGTTCAAGCTTTTAGACGCCATAAGAAAACTTCCTAAGTTAACAGCTACTTTCAACTCTACATTTTAATTTCAAGAACATATATAATTCACTTTGTTAAATCTGTGTAAAACCTTCTTCAAACGGATAATGAAAGTCTTCTGCTCTTTCTTAATTAGTCTGATTTAAGTCTTATTTGTCGACTCGACAACCTTTAGAGATGTTTCTGGCGTAATCTATTTATCATAAATACGCTTTCAACGCCAAATGTAACTTTTCTCAGTTTTTCAATAAGTTATTGATATATTATAAATTGTATAAAGTTCAGCCTAAAAATGTAAATTGCTTCAGCCGAAATCAATTGCGCTTTCAACTAACGCAATTGGATAAGGCCGTTCGCGAACTGAACCAACAAATCTTAAGGACAAGAGATGCAAAATATACCATGTAAACCCACTAAATTACCAACCAAGGAAAGCAAGATAACTCATGTTGTTGTTGTACTAATCAAAGTCGGATTTCTCACCTAAAAGTTCTCAAATTTGCTCACTTTTCGTATTTGATCACCTCGCATATGACTAGCGAATTTCTCGAAATAACTCAGCCCCGCTAACTGTCAGCGGTTTCTTAAAGTATCGATGACGTCATTATTAGAGAGACCCGAAATGGTTGAGCCCACGATTATAACTCAGCAGCACAAAGTTCCATAGCAACAAGAAAACTTGTAAACGTTTCCATGACGATACGTTATTTACGTCTAGCAACCAGCTTCGTGCATAAATCGAGCTACTGTAACGCAAATCCAATTAACACAACCATCCTCTCGGTGAATACTGTAGCTCATCGGTGGTTCCTCCTTTTTATTTGATTCTTCAATTCTCTGTCCTTCTTCTGCACCTTAAACAGGTAAAGAGAACTCTACTTTTTCGTTATACGATTACTACGTTTCACATTTCGTGCCTGTTCGCAATTTCACTCACAAGTGAACACGGAAAGTTTCTTCAAGGGTATATTTGACACGGAACCTCTTGTTGCATTGCAGTGCTTGATCAAATATGGGATGCTCTGCTTCAAAAACGTCCAAAGTTGTGGTCCCAATGCCAACAGAGCTGAAAGAAAACTTAAAATCATCACCCGAAGAAGATAGACAAGAAAATACAGCTACGACAGAAAGAAAAACTTCGACAACAATTCAAGTGAAACAGTCCAATGTCGACAGTTTAAATGGAAGCCAAAGTAGTTTGAATTCCAACTCTGATTCTGAAAGATCAAATCGGGAAAGCTCGGCAAAATCTACAAGAACTATGGACAGTGGTTTAGGTGAACTAGAAGACGACGAAAATATTGTGACAGAAAAATCCACACTGGACAAACAGAAGAGAGTACTGATAGACGATAGGCCTCCGACACCAGGTTGGTGTACGTTTGAATTCTCAAACGAAAATACAAGATGTTATTTTTCAAAATTCAATTCATAGAGCAGCTGTGATTTTTTCGTGAGCGTGCCGCGCGTTCCGTAAAAGAACGTGCACTGAGTCGCATGAAGGTGGATCAAAGCTTGCGCAAGGGTTGCTCGCTTTGTTTCCAAGCGTCCAAGCGAAGCAAAACAGTGTCACGTTCGGGTTAATATGCATTTAATTAATAGTCTTTATTTATTTTGACGACTGCTGGTTAAATTAATTCTTCGTTACTCTTGAGTGATTCCTACACTGAGTTTTGTTAAGAGTATACATTGTAAACTTCATTTTTAATTTTTTCTAGAGCTCTGCATCGAAGGTACTCAAGTTACGAGAAGGAAGAGTTTGAAAGAGAAACGAGTTTCCTTTTCAGAAAAACAGGAAGAAGTTAGGAATAGAATAAATGCTTTATCGCCTCTTGGCGGAGTGACAGAAAGACCTCAGAGCAGGGGAGGAATGGCGTTTGATATCATGTTGGTTCCTGAAACTGGTAACGTGAAAAGAAGGCCTCAACATCTGAGATCACTGGAAAGACGGAAGAAGAAAGGAGCTCGGAGAACCAAAGAAGAAATAGAAGAAAAGCTTAAACATGCTGAGGAAAGAAGAAGGGTAAGAGTGCGTTTTATTTTAACAATATTTTAAAACAGTTGGGTCATAAAAACAACGATGAAATTGTTATTTGATGTTAAGATAATAAGATCTAGGCAAAGAAGATTTCTCCAATCATCACTTGGCATAGCAAATTGCTTACCCTGACTTGTCTAAAGGGATCTCTGTTAGTTAGTATAACTGAAAAAATATCCTTCATTTTTCTCTCAAAAGTTAATTCAGTTACTAATAATTTAAGTAAGTCCTTAAGCAATGTTACAGACTTAATCATTTTCCATTATTTTGGATAAAAATAACAAGAGGCCTCATTTTTTATTTAATTTTTGCAGTTCTAATGTTCACTTTAAAGAGAAAAGTTAACCCTTAAACGAGGATAAAATTAATGATGTAAGGAACAATGAAACCAGAAATGGATGGTTGCAACCATTTTTAATAACTGTCTTTTTTTTTTGGTTTCAGGAGAAAAAACAGCACATGAAAGAGAAAGCACAAGCTATGATTTCAAGAGAAAGACAAGTTAAACAAGCTTTAGATGACTTTGAACAACGACAAAAAAATTATAATGAGCAAACTGTCTCCAGTTAGAGGCTCTATCTCTACAATAGATTTTTAGTTTTATAATTTATTGACATTTTTTAATTGTGGAGTGATAATTGGTATAATATATTATACAGATGTTATCCTTGCTTTTTCAAGGGAGAGTTTGTACTGACTTGCTGCAAGATATTTCATTTGAAACAAAGTGTACTTAAAAATGTGTTAATATATTGGAAAGTGGCACTTTCTTGACCAAAAACCCTTTCCCTCTTTTGGATGACTTAGTTTCAGGTGTAGATATTTAGACTCTCTGTAATGACAACTTCATCATACATTCTTAGAAACAGGGAATGGAATTTACTGCAAAGCTAGCTATGCTGGCCTCAGTCAATGTTAATTTTGAAAATCTGGTAATTTTTTCTCAATAACTAACCATACCTTAAATTTATACTTAAATCAATAGTGTAGAACACATACATTTCAGGGATCTTGTCACCAAATTGTTTCTTGGAAGAAATTGAGAGGGTTGAACTGTAACATGGTCTTATAGTGTGGGTCTAACTTAATATTCAAGTCAAATAATTTTATGAAAATTATGAGTTTAACAAGAGTGAAAGTATTGTAAATAAAGGTTTTGTGACAAAATTGTACCATGTGGTGTTAATTACATTTTTAGTGGCATTTGAGTTGTAAATGATAAACTCCAAAACAGTTTCAAGGATTCATTAAGGCTGTTGGTTAAAATTACTCAAGATTCCTTTCCTGTAATCCTGTCTCTAACAAATAATGATTCTGAAAATGTAAAAAGACAAAAAAAAAACAGAGGGTGGGTTTATTTAACCTCTCAACTCTCCAGGGATTGCAGTTCAGTTCAGTGAGATGGTTCTGGTGGGGAGGAAAATTAGTGGATGCTGGAAAATTTTCAGAGCATGGATGACAAAAATGCTGTGGGTCAGTTACAAGGTCAGTTGGTACATATCAGACAGCTTTAATTTACATCTGGCTCAATATTTTGTTATTGCAACCTAATAAAGTGATACAAACCATTCCAAAGATAAATAACAATTACTCTTTTAATGATTCATGACCCTTTACATCCTGGCATCAATATGCATATCCTCCATACTGTTCTCTTTTCTCATGGTACTGACAAGACATGAATACCCATCTTCTCTATACTGTTCTCTATACACTTCTTACATTACTAACATGGAGAATTTGTTTATCAATCAAGGGCTTCCATTTCCTTTTTTTTCATGACCTTACTGTTAGATTGAGAAGTGATACTGTAAGGAGAAATTAGATGTTGGTCACTCAACCCTTTACCACCAAGATCTCTTTAGTCATTCTCCATACTATCTGCCATACATTGCTTATACTTCTAGTTCTGAGAATTTACTATTGGATCATGTGACGATCCCCCAATTGATATTTTCCAATATTCTCATCACTTGTCTGCTTGATATTGTATTGATAATGTAAGGAGAAAGTATGTCTTGGTCCCTGCTAGGAGTGAAAGGGTAACAGGGTTTAAAGGATGAATGATAAGTTGTTAAGAATTACTTCAAGCAAATCCTGCCTGAAAACTTACATAAAAGGAATGTTCTGTTAAAAAATCATTTTCTCATCGTTAAACACAAGGTAAATGTTCTAATTGAAATCAACAAAATAAATGGTGTACAGTAAATTATTCCACCAGCACATTTAGACAAAACAAATTTCCAATGAAGAATGTTGAACATTCAAATTCAGCAAAATTGTTCATTACTAAAAGAGACAGTTGATATCTTAAAAGCATGGTGTCACCATATGCATGTACATAGGACTAAAACTAGTCCATTACTGCCAATTCTCTCCCCTAGTTGCTGTTTAAGTGTTACTATAAATTGGTTCTTTCGCGTGGTGCTCCACCTCAATCAATTTTCACTGCTGCATAAATGTGCCTGATGAACAGGTATGTGGCATAAAATCCAACTGTTCCTGTCAGCAACCAGAAGGACAACACCATGATAAATGTGTAGCCAAAATACAAAAGACCTGGGACAAAATCTTGGATGTCAAGCTACAACAAAGAGAAGAGGAGAATTCCACAGTAAGTTTTGTAATTTAACAAATCTATACATCTTACTAACCAACTTCAAGGTCTGTACTGTGAGATACAGACCAGAGGCCCATTTCTTGAAGGTTCCAGTAACTTATTGGACCCATAAAGCTGTTCTGTTTTCATTCAAGAGAAGGGTTTAGAAAGTTTTGAAAATTATAAAATAAAACTTTCAGCTACAGAAACAAAATGGACAGGTTAGAGTGCCAGAAACTGCTTCTCTATTGTTTAAATTTTGATTTTAAAATGTGGTTTTGTGGCCATCATGGTATTGGGACTTTCAAGAGTATTTTTCAGCTCAGATTTACAGCGTATAACCCAGCAAAGAGTGCACAGGCCATAAATCTGAACAGAAAAAATAAAAAAAAAACCTAGATTCTTAAACTTGCAGTATGGATTTATAGACAGTACAGATAGTATGAAAAATTAAAAGTTGAAGGAAATAACATCCGTATAGAGCTATAGACCAGTAACAGCTGTAAAGAAACAGTAACTATCTAGTGAAACTCACTTTTGTAACAAAATAGAATACTGCATAAAAGAACACATAGATGGAGCATGAACCAGACATGAAGAATGATCTCCACCACCAGTGGTAGTCCTGCAAGAAAAATAAAAATGGTGGTTATCACTTTAAGCATTTTGATGTCTTTCTTCTACTTTCCTTTGTTAAGTTGTGTGGCAAGCATTAGTCTGTCTAACAAAGTGTACCATTTTTGTTCAGTTGTAATTTTCTCTCATGAACCTATACATAAACTGCAGTTAATTTTCTGAAGAATAAAGGCTGATAGTACAGTTTTTGGCAAAGTGTAAAAAAGAGGGGCGACACAGAAAAACCAAAATATTTCAAAAAATGTCCCAACCCAGATAGAGCAATTGAATATTGCCTTTGGTCAATCTCTCCTACAACTCTTTAACTTTCAGTGCTTCCTCAGCGGTGGAATTCAATGCAGACATGAAGTTTGTATTTTAAGGCTTCAATTAATATAATGAATATTCCCACAACTTAACCATGGAATGGTAAAGTTAAACTTGATAACCAGCTGCTGATACAGAAATAGGCCCACCTTCCCTTCAGAAGAAGCACCTCCCCTCTCAGGAAGATCAAACACAGGACTTGAGAAAATGGAAACCTGTACAATTGGATCACCCCCAGTTGTTTTCACAGGATTATTGGGTCTAACCTCCAAAATGCAAAGACTTTCTCCTACCTCAGCACATAACTGGAAGTAAATCATCACTATAGATATCTGTGACACACAGCTGGCAAGGATCAGGAACACCAGAAACAAGAAACCAAACAGATAGTAGAACTGATTTTCCCAGATCGCCTAAAAATGCAGAGAAAACAATTATACAATACTTAACAATTGGTTCATGCGTCAGCATGCATTCATCGAGATATGAAGTATGCAGGAAGTTTGGAGAGCACCAAAGACGTGTAAGAGTTGCTCGAGGCGTAGCCAAGAGCAACTCTAGCTTCTTGAGTGCTCTCCAAACTTCCCAAGTGCTTCATATCTCGATGAACATATAGCTGATGTTTGAACTGATTGTTTTATAACTTTTTCAACCTGATGGAAAATTTTTTTCTCGAGAGAGATTTGTTTGCTGCTGTCATGAGCATGCATGATAGGAATATGAAGCATGCTAGCACAATTGAATTTGACTAGACAAATTTCCTAGCTATGTGATAAAACAGTTTAACTGTAACTTTAAAAAAACTATTTTGCTGGAACTGTTATGCTACAATAATTCTTCAATCCTTCCACTCCCAAGATCAAAATGTACATTCTCTGCACTCTCTCATCCATTTCTTATAATTTTTATTTTGAGAATTTAGTACTAAATCAAACAATGTCCCATTCCAGATATATATAATTTTTTTTTCTTGATGCTGTAGAGAGAAACTCCTCCTTGGTCACTTAAGAGAGTGAAAGGGTTAGAGGTGATGATAAGAGATGAGTTCCTATAACAAGAATTAACTTCTGGGAGGAATGACACTTCGTTTTGATTACTTACAGATAAAATAAAGAAGAGCTCAATAAAGACAGCACCAAAGGGGAGAATTCCAGCCATCAGGTTGCTGAAAGAGGAAGTCAGCATTAATTACTCGAATAACAGATTTCAAGGAATATACATTGCTAATAAAATTTTCACACATTTCCAACTCCTGTAAGAGGAAACATGGCTCTTTCTTAGTGTACCAGACAAAGATGTTTCTAAAAATGAGTAATAAAATGGCAAAGATTACACAATGGCACACCAAAATATACATGCATACTCATTTCCAAAAAAGGGACTAGCACTTAAGTCATGAGAAAGAAAAAAAAACATATGTACTCCTGCATTCTTTGGCATATGCATATGCTTCAAGTAGAGCTCTGCTCTATTTGAATCAGATGCCAATAAATACTGGTAGGTCTGTCCAGAGGTAACTTTGTGGTCCTAATGCCTACTTTTGGCATTTCCAAAAGTTGTCTCTTTTGAGTAGTAACTCGTTTTCATCAATACAGTACAGTTTATGATGATGTTCAGTTGCACTCAAGGAAAAAGTAACAACCTTACCTTGGCAAGGGACTCATGTACCAGGCCTGATCAGGAACTTGCCTAGGAATTTGGTTTGTTCTCACAGGGTGTTCATATGGCTGAATAATGCATAGCAAAATTGAATATTTAATTTCTTGTCAAATATAAAACCTACAGCTGCTAGTTTAGGTCAATAAAACAACAGATACCTACATAGTATTGGGAAACAGGATTTTCTACATCCCACTAAATACAAAAAAATCTTATTATGAGATATATACTAAATGCCAAAAAATCATTATGTTTGTTTGAGATCAATTAGTAGTCCCAAATTGATATTTTCCTTGATTCTCATCACTTGTCTACATGATTTTCTAGATATCCAAAGGAGAAATCTGTCAATGAAAACAAGAGGAACATGTTTTCTGTATCCAAAGTAGTATCCAATGAAAACAAGAGGAACTGAAATTCCCAGCCACAGAGAGAGAAGAGCAAGCATGGTTGTAAAGGGAACCTGAAAAGAGATAAATGCCAGCAAAATTGGATTAAGTACCATTAAACAAAAAATATAAAGAAAATTCAGAGCACAAATACAATCAAATTTATCCCTTACTGCTCCGGAAGAATGCTGTCCCCAGATAAAGAAGTTTAGAATGAAACAGACTGCAGAAACAACTCCAGGATACAAAGCAGCCGTCTGAAATAAAAAAAAAAGTTTAGAATGATCTTGGCCAGTTTCTAGAGGTTTTAGGTCATACCACACATCTGACCCCAAAAGTTACTCTTGATTAATTTGTAACTGTCAAGTTTTAAAAGTGTAAGTAAGTGTAAGTAATTGTAAGTAGAGTAAGCTTCGTTGGTAGAGTTGGTACAGTAAGTTATGTGAGTTTTCTTAGTAATGCTAGTATTGTATGTAATCGTAAGTAGAATAAGTAGATTGTAAGTAGTTTAAGTTTCTGTAAGTTGTACTGTGAGTATTGTGAGTAATATTAGTACTGTTCAATTAAAAAAAGAAAAGAATTAAGAATCTTACCAGTACTGCAGATTTCTTCCAGTTCTGGCCCTTGCATGTCTTGTAGAGTCGAGCAGCAAAATATCCAGCAAAAACACTTTATAGTGAGAATGAAAATTTAACTCTGGATTATTGTAAGTTTTTTTCATCATCATTATTACCATTACCATTATTGTTATTGTCATCATCATCATCATCATCATTATTATTATTACTATTAGTAATAGTAGTAGTAGTAGTAGTAGTAGTGTCATTATTATCATTATCCTTATCACAATACTAGGTCCTATCATTATATTATTATTATTATTATTATTATTATCATCATCATCATCATCATCATCATCATCATCATCACTATCTTTATCATCATGGCCATCACTATTACCAATTCCAGTACAATACAATTACATCTTCAACAAGTTGGACTGCTTGCTTTACAAAATTTAAATATCTCCTTGAGAAGTAGGTGCTCAATTTTGTAAAAATACCATCAAAATGATCTAGTATTTTCAGATTAGTAGAAAAATTTTGATCACAACTCGACATGATTTTAATTGAAACACTCACCCCATGAAAACATAAAGAAATATGATTGCTGTCATAAGGCTTCCTCTGCTGGCAGGTGACAACATTCCAAGCATGGCAAACACTAAAACCAGATACAACACAATGAAAATTAACCCTATGCCACCTGTAGCTCCCAGCACTCTTTAACTTTACTACAATTTCTCATAAAAACATCATTTATCATTTCACAAATTATTTTAATATGATCTTACCCAGAGTGATGAGGACCATAAAAAAGATCTGCACCCCTGAGCCAACAAATGCAGTTAGTAGCCATGCTCTTTTGGGAGGTCTGAACACATCACCATGGACCAATTTCCACCCTGTCTCTTCCATGGTATCTTCCTGCAAACAATAAAATCACTTTTTTCCTTCTGACTGAAACATTTTGACACTATTCATTTGATTATTCCTCAACCTATCACTCAACTTTATATCATACTTCAAAATGTAAAAAGTTGGTCAAAGTCAAATTTCTAACCATTAAACTAAATTTGACTGAAAAAGCCTTGACATAATCTGGGAGTTTGGTGGTGGTTGATAAAGTTACCCTAATTTTATAACAACAAAAAGGTCAAACAGCGCAGCAAAGGTAATAATTAAAATTATTCAGTGCTTCACAAGTTCACTTCTATGATAAAAAATGCTTTCATTAATGATGAGCCTTTGAAATAACTAACCATTTCCTCTTCCTTGTTATAACGAGCAATGTCACGTCGTAATGTCCTTATCATTATCATGGAGACAATACCTGTGAGGAAGATATAACAGTTAACATGTGCAATCTAACTTTACCAAATATGCAATAAATGAAATATTGAATACATGCTAGGTGTAAGTAAATATTTCTCTCTCCATTACATGGATATCTGCAACCAGATTTCTCCCTAAAGCAGGAGTCAAAGGGGGACTTTCTCCCTGAGACTTCTTCCTTTCAGTTTCCCCCCTCCCTCCTCCCCCCTCCAAACTATACATTGCCCTCCACCCCTCTACTTTACTGAAGAGTCTCAGCACAATCACAAAATACCACCGAAAGGAACATATTTTCTTCTTTAACAAGTTTAGTGCTAGAAATTAAGGTACATGCAATTGGTGACTCACCAGACAAGAACAGGACAATCACTACAGAGTTGACTATAGCAAACCAGTGGATCTGAACATCACTCATAGCTAAATATGTGTCCCAACGTGAAGCCCAGACAATCTCACTGGCCTGTACGAAAGTAATAAAGAGAAATACAATATCACATAGTGATGATTACAAAGCTCTACACAATAGCACCCCCTTATTTCTTTGACCTTTTAACCATAAAACCCAAAAATATGAACATTTAAGAATTTTTCTAAGAATATTTGATGTGACTGATGAAATAGGAATTAAGGACATGCAAGAAAAGAAACCCCAACCTACAAAATAGTGCCCTGCAGAAATCTGTTCTACAATATTACAGTTAGATACATTATGCTTCATTGAGTAAATTTTCTTGACATACACTGTAATCCAGTCATAGAATTATTTCCAGTAAGCATAGTTTTCTGAGTTTCATGGTAAGAACTCCCAAAAAGTAACAAGTTTTTTTGGAAAGGGTTTTCCTGTTACACCATAAGAGAAACATTCATTAAATAGTTTTTTTTTTGCTTGTTTACTTTACATTTTTGGAAATTACTCCTCTCTTAAAGCTAATCAAATAAATCTTCAGTTTCTTTCACATACTGTATCAATCAAATAGAATTTAAAGAAATTTAAAATTTACGATGATAATTATCACATCTTGACCTACCTCCCAAGTTACAGAATACGTCAACACCACAGCATTGTCCTCTATCAATATAAAATCAACAACAAAATGTTATTAAGCATGAACTATTATGACACTTGAACCATCAAATTCAGCTGCATATAGACAGCTTCTAAGAAATTCATATCTCTGTCATCATTCTGATTTCGATTTCAATCCCTATCAACATCTCGGATCAATATCAGTATCTGGGCAACTGCCCACCTACCCCTCCCCAAACCCAACATTAACCTTAACTTGTTGTCAATTGACTGTTGTTGAATTAGGGGAGGGGTAGGTGGGCAGTTGCCCAGATATTGATATTGATCCAACATCTCTAACATCTCATTGGCACATGATCGACAAAAAAAAGTGATTGTAGTTGTTTACTATTCATCTCAAAGTGACAATGGACCTCTTCAGGGTTCAAGCTCTTTGGATATTAAAAACTCCTCCAGTTGGGATGAACTTTTTTAAAACTTTTTCAATGGCATAAAAACCAAAACATTGGTCTCAAAAAAAAAATGCATATCAAGCAATCATTTAGTTGAGGTATTTCTTTAATACAATCTTCTAAAAATCCTTGATTTTTTTTTTCATTTTCACTTGGCTATGCCTTGCATGCCTCTTTTTTGGTTTTAATCATATTTTAGCTTCATCTGTCACTTTGTACAACATTAATGAAAATCAAACTTACGGTTAGGAGTAATCTGCAGATTAGATGGCTTCTCACTCAAAAACGAACATTTATTACTGTTTGCTTCCACAGCTATAGCATCTGTTGCCACACTACCAAAAATTGAAAAAAGAAATTCGAATCAATCCTACTAAATTGTAACAATTAGTTACATCACATTATTGGTTCTCAGAGCCATGTGGCCAAAGAAGCTAATAGAGATTGGGCAGGTCCCAAGCTCCCAAGGCAGGGGAGAGCACCTGACATCATGGCTTGATTTATGTTCATTGATTCTAATTTCCATGCAATAACTTTCTCACCTTTTTGTATGTACTTCAAATCCAACAACACGGAATGTGGCGCTACAGAAAGAAAATCAGAAACTTAAATTTACTTGCAAAGAGAGACGAAACTCACTGCTGAAAAAGAAATTCAAGGAAAAAGTTTGCTTACTTGTCATAAGTATGATATTTGAGGACCATCATCAAATGATTATTAAGGTAAGTCTCCTGAAAAAAAGGACAATCCACCATTTAATTCTGATGAGAATTTGAATATCAATCAAAATAATCACCTCATCACAAAAAGAACAAAATTATGAAATTAATGAGCCTTTACTGAGAGAGTGACAGAATTTTTAAAAATATTCTGATTACATTTTTTTTCATTTTAGAGGTTTTTCATCAATAATAAAACCAAATTAAAAACTAGCATTGATAACAAGACTGGCAGTACTAAGAGAGAGAGAGAGTGACTGTATATCAAGACAGTGCATTTATTTTCCTGTTACTAACCTTCTCTCTGGTAAATCCAAGTTTAAATCCATGATCATACTGCACCTAATTAAGGAAAAAGATACAAAATCATGAACAAACCCAAACATGCTGGTACAATGTAGATTCCGATTGTGTCCGATAACTGCCACACATACTGAATAATTAAATTTAGCAATTTTTTATGCATTACATTGAGGTGGAAAAAGAGACATTTCAAAATTGTTCTGAAAAGAGTATTATTTGGGTAAAACAGAATCACATTAAAATTTTTTGCAATCATGGTCCTTACCTGGCCAGTCTCAAGAACAAATTTTGTTGCCACAGGTAGATTATCAATAACCCTGAAATTGTTCATAAAGCAGTTTTGTGAGAAGTTAAAACATGCTCCAGTCACTAAGAGATGAAAGGAGAAAATAAGTGAATACAACACAAGAGAATGGCTAGAAGGAATTCAGAGAAGAAAAATTACATTTCCAAGCTTCTAGATTCCAGATTTTTATGAGGTCAAGGGGAAGCCTAGACCCCCCTAGGAGAATGGGGCCCTGCAGCCACTTTCAAGGCACAGCAGTCCATTATATCAGTAGCAGCCACTTATTGAAAAAGTTACCAAAACCATTTAATTAACAGAAGCATGTAAAAATTAGGAGATTAGAAAATGATGACACTCATTAGGAAGTAAAAAAAAGAAAGAAGACAAAATGACAAAGGATAAAAGGATTAAAACAAAATAGGAAAAGAAACTAAAATAAGAAACTACGCACATGTGAACATGGTATTCATCTGATATCAGCTTGGAAAGTTTCGTAGATTGCTCTGTATTCACAGTTGTTTGCTTGCAGAGTAAAGTGCAACCTTTGTTTTGTGCCATTCTTATCTACAAAGCAACAAAAAAGCTCAGTAGTACCAGCAAATGAAAACTGTAAAATGGTCAGAAGAGGGCAGAAGGTTGCTTGAGAATGCAAGTTAGTGACTTGGTAGAGAAAAAAATTAGATTAACAATTGATAAAGACTAAAGAATTCACTAAAAAAATTCCTTTTAATCTACAGCTGTTTCAAGAAAGGTTGTCAGAAAAAAAGCCAAAAGTGCAGGCAAATAAATAAAAAACTCATTAAGAACAAGATGCCTTGTACTTAAAGTGAAATTTTTACAGATTTCCCCAAAATCCTCAGTCAATAAATCATGACCTGCAACTGTAAAGTATACCCACAATACCTTTCAGGGTTTTTGCATGCATTCTTACACTATACGATTTGCAAACTTTCTTGAAACAGCTGTATATTACTTGCCAAAATAACTTATGTTTCAAATGGCAAACTAAAAAGAATTCAGGGGTAAATGTCTCTTATATCTTGATACAGGAAGAAGTACAGTTTCACCTCCTACAACTATATCATTATAGTGTGTTTGTGTGCTACAGTGTTAAAGAAGAAGGATACAAACCTCATATAAAGTATTTACAATCCTGTCACCGCGAAGTACTTCCCCTACAGACAAAGCACATTGTTTTTAAGACAATACTCTAAACGGCAAATGAGTAAATTTTCTTACAAGAAAGAAAGAAAAAAAAGATAAAAGACAAAAATCAACTACCAGAAGCAGTGTTTTACCTCTGATTTCAGAATTTATTCTCATTAGCCTCAGAGTTCCCGCAAAATAATGATTTACAATGTTTCAAATAAGATGTGAATTCCAAAGGACCTTTTTTCCATGCTTCCCATCAAATAAATAAACAATGTAGTGTATCATGAAAATTAGTTTTTTTAATTGAACATTACAAAAGTTTGCACTATGATCTAAATACAAAATAAAAAAATGCAAGAAATCAGCCCTACCAAGGTTTTCTGGCTTGTACTGTAAATTGTCAGGCTTACAGATGGGAATAGAGTAGTACTCAAAGGGAAGCTGTGTCTTGATGCTTGTCATTTTTACAGCCTGTACATTCCAAAGACCATCCAAATCAAACATGACAGCTATTACCACCTTACAGCACTAATCTAGATTTTTTCAAGCTTTGAAGCAATAGGTGAAGTCATAGCAACCGTGTTAATAAGGCAAAAAATCTACGGAGATGCATCTTGAGGTTTGTATTAAAAAGATACAATTGTCTTTGATGATCGGAAATAAAAATTGGAAAAAAAAGACAAAAAATTCCACCATACAGCTATTATCAATTTTGAATCGAACAAGTAAAAACAAAAACAAGTTTAGTGTAAAAGCATCAAAATCTGACGATTTACCAAGGATGCCCGCATAATATTAGATCATAATATTTGAGGTTTAAAAGACCGTACCTTGACTTCTAGTTTTTCGCCTTTTTCGTAGTCAATCGGAGCAATTCCAGGCAAATAAAAGGGCCAGGCGGGCGAAATATTGAGCCAAAAGATCAAACATGACAGTAGCCACATAGACGTTTTCTAGTGTATCAACGGTTAAACAAACAGAAATTAACTTCGTATGGAATGACTATTACTAAGTACTGCACCGTTTTTGAGGCTAAAGCTATCACATCTAGAGAAAAAATTATCAGAAAAACACACCTTTGTGACGGATCTTCCACAAGACCATGCATCCGCCATGATTGCCTCGTATTTAACTATATTCTGTATTTATGCGCATGCCACGTCGCAAGTACCAGTGCCTTTTCGTTCAAGCTGCGTCCGTCCAATGTCGGGGCTTTACGAAAGTAACCGAAATTTACCGACGATGGTGCGTCACTGCTGTGCAGAAAAACTGTGGTTCAATTGGTGCAGTACCCATGCGCAATGAAAAGGAAAGCGGTGAATTCACCGGGCTCTTCAAGGAAACAGAAAATGTCCAAGGTAGCTCTTGATAAAAACAAAAAATATGATCGTCAGTTAAGGTAAGAGAAATGAATGTGCATTGTGATGCGAAAAAATAGCACTAAGAAAGAAACGCGAGGGGTTTCAGAATGCGCAGATACGCGTGTGAGCTGGATGGTTCGCTATCAGTGGTTTTTGTTAACCGCGTTGTCAACCGCGTCTAAGAGATCTTTGATACCAGAAAAGAAAAGATAATGGATTAAACGTTTGTAAGGATCGTGATGGGTCCGCCTGCTAGACAGAAATGATTAGCAAAGTGGAAAAAAAAATCAGATTAGGTCATTACCTTAGACAGACTAATAGTCCTCCGTGGCTGGCCATCCATGCTTCTACATTACGTAGAAATATTATGTTTAGAACGCTCGGTTTTCCAGTTTCATTTATCGTCCTTTTTTCGTGTAGTTTTTTATCTTTCTCATTGTGATAATGTCGTAGACAGAGTTACATAGTTAAGATACTGATCATTGATCCTGAGGGCTCGACCAAGGACAGCCGAGTGACTATGACAGTTTCCAGCAACCTTTAACTCCCAAAATCTGTCAAGCAATTTTCAGGGCTATATGTTACACATTTTCCTTTAATAAGTGTGTCAGAGAATACTTTCTGGCTTCCAGGTTTATTTTCCTCTGTGTATGTGACACCTTTTATTTGCTAAATATGATTTACAGTTGATTATATACATGTAAAGGGATTGTCCAGGTAAGAGAAGTCCTGGAAAGTACTGCTTTTTGTTGTAGAGACCAACATTTTGATGACCTCAGCGTAAGTCATCCTCAAAGACTACATGAATGTTGTCACAACATCAGTCAGTACTAGTGATAGCAACAGTTCTTATCAATGCTATTTCACCTATACAACCAGACCGCAAAATCCTGTCAACTCAATTACTGACTAGGATTCAAACATAGAACTCTATATCGGGAATGAAGGGTCATTTTACCATTAGACCACTAAGCTCTTATAGCATTGTCTTCAGGACTGTATGAAAGATCCTAAAAAAAAAATTGAATTCACTTCTGTTACAGAGTCAAAAGGTGATTTTTTAACTCATTATTTTATCTAGTTAGATAAAACATGTGTTATTTTTTGTTGTGGTTGTTTAGATTGTGGGGAGATCATGGACAAGAAGCTCTTGAAGGAGCCAAGATTTGCTTAATAAATGCATCAGCTACTGGAACTGAAATTCTAAAGAATCTCATTCTTCCAGGTAAAATTTATTATTTAAATTGTGGTGACATTTTAACATTCAGTGCTTGTGATTGTCATATGCACCTGGGCAAGCAGTTTACAGGCTTCTTGTTAAGAAATGTTGTTGCAGGAAAATAAAGTGAGGCAGTAGAAAAATTTTTCTTTATATTAAGATAACAAAAAGTTCAAGTCATGAGAATTTTGCTAAATAATCCTGCCTTGAAGCCAAGAATTCTCAGATCACCAGTAACACATGTCTTAATTTTCAAATTGTAACACACTGAATGTGGTTTATTTCCATTAGGCATAGGATCTTTTACTATTGTGGATGGCGAGAAAGTTACTGGTGAAGATGTAGGCAACAAGTAAGTACATAGGAAGCAAACATTGTTGCTCGATGTTACAAATCATTTGTAGATTGTTATACTCTTTTTATGCATGAATATGAGTAGAAGAGGAAAAACATTTTTAATTACTCTGTAGATTATTCATTCTCTGATTGATATAAATCTTTGTGTTATTGATAACTTGATTTAATTTAGTTTATTTTGCCTTTTGATTTTTCACAGCTTCTTTTTAGATAAAGATTGTATCGGAAAGGTATGGAAAATAATTTAACTACAAGTAACACTAAACGAATGCATTAAGATGGTAACAGTGCCTTAACCTTTAACACCCATGAGTGACCAAAACAGAATTTCTTCTTACAGTATCTATACAATAACAACCAGATAAGTGATGAGAAGAAAGAAAAAGATCAATTTGTAGATAATTAGTTGATCCAGTACTAAATTCTCTGAACAAGCATTATAAGAATTGTATGGTTGACAGTAAGGAGAATTACAAATTTGATTTGGGAGTTAAAGGGTCAAGTTGACAGTTATTAGCAGTCTTTATGTTCTATATATATATATGTGTTTTTGAAGTGAAGTAGAACATTTGGAATGTACACGTACAGCTTTATAGAAACATCAGTGAGATAACAAAACAAAATAAATCTCCATTTATTGAAAGGGAGTAGACTTATTAATTTAATCAGTTGATCATGTCGGTCATGTTTCTCTTTGATTAGTCTCGGGCAGAGTGCACCACTGAACTTCTGCTTGAACTTAATTCAGATGTGTCAGGAGATTTCATTGAAGAAGTAAGCACTGATTAATCTTATATTGTTAAAAATTGATCCTCAAAGGAATCATCAGTGTTCTCAAGTTTATTGTTCAGGCCATCTCATATAGTAGTTTATTTTCCATGTATTGATCATTTAATTAAACTACAGTTTTGTTATGAGAGAAACAAGCAAGAATGTATTCCTTTTCCCTAGATCAAATTGCCCATGGTGATGTTATAGTCTGGTTTTTCCAAGGAGACGCTGTTTGCATTAAATTGTTGTCTAATATATTTATTTCCTGTATTTGTCACATTTTTTTTCCATTTATGTCTAACTGACTTCCACTTTAACTAAACATGGGAAATGAGACATACATGTAAGACCCTCATGAGAGGCATCCTCTCATGAAATTTGCAAACTTTGCGAGGAAACAATTTAAATATTAAACATGTACAGCTGTACATATAACACTGCGTTAATCTCTAATTTGAGTTTCATTGTATAATGCTTTTGGTAAATGGTCATAGGTTTGAGTGAAAGAGTATTTAAATACTCAGCAGCTCTTGCTTGTCATTTAAGCCTTGTGTGTTTCATTGTTTCAATTAGACTACAGACTGCTTGTTGCGGGAGAACAGTGACTATTTCAAGTCATTTACTGTGGTTATAGCTACTCAGCTTCCTGAGGAGTAAGTGGAACCTAAAAGATAAGTTATGGAAGCGATCCTCAGAGTTATGAACACTTCTTAAGTAGTAGTGAAAATAAGGCCTGAAAAAAATTCAGGCCAGTACAGGATTTGAACCCATGACCTCTACAATACCAGTTCTGACTTTTCTTCAGGCCTTATTTTCACTACTATTTAAGTAGTGTTCATAATTGCGAGGATTGCTTCCATTTTCGTTTCTGCAACGGCAGTTCACATATATGATTTTTTTATAATTATTTACAGTCATTGAGAATATAATTTGTTGTTTAAGGAGATACTCATTAGCATTCCATCTTTGAATTATTTAATTTTTTGGTTTGAATCTCTACCACCTTCAAACTTTACAACTGTTCCAATGAAAAAGGTAATTTAAAGTTCATTTTTATTTTCAGAACTCTACTAAAACTTGGTTCCCTGCTCTGGTCCAGAAATATTCCACTGTTAGTTTGCCGTTCATATGGCTTTATTGGTTGCATGAGAATTGTGCTGCAAGAGCACTGTGGTAAGAATCACAATATATTTTTGTGTGGAATAATGTTGCATCTTTATTTGTGAGATTAGCTTGCATTCTGTGTAAAAGTTTTTGACTGAAAAGGATTAATTTTTGTGGAAATATTTGGGTAAAATTGCCAGCCTTCGTCAGTCTGTTGCTGTGTGAGTGGTCACACTGCAACAGCTTCAAACTCTGGGTTCATATGCTCAGAGCAGCCCTCCGATGGGAGTGTGGACTTTGCTTCTAGTCCACATTCTATATTTCTGTATACTTGGCTCTAAGCCACAAAAACTTGTTGGAGTACACTGTAAGCAACCAGTGCTGGTAAACTTTTGGCCTGCAATAGAAAAGAGATAGCAAATGATGTTTACTTTTGTAGCTTGACTTTTCGTGGTATGTATGGCAACAAATCTGTAACATGTGAGAAGTTTCTTTTCTTGACAACGATTTTTCTTACTTATGCAGTTGTGGAATCACACCCTGATAGCACTCATCCAGACTTAAGATTAGACAGGCCTTTTCCTGGCCTTGTACAGTATGTGGATGCTTTAGATCTTAACACCATGACAAAACAGGTAAATATTGTATGTGTAAGGAGACACAGTGTTAGAAAATTGGCGACTAGAACATTTCATCATAACCTTACCAAGAGATATAGTGGCAAACTTCCTCATTAAGTTTGTTTCCAAAACGTAGCACATGCATCTCGATCGATAACAAGACGCCATTTTGGATTTAGATAAGCCTGAGCGTTGTATATCATCCATCCTAGTGTCCACTTTGTAGCACGTTAAAGATCTTTTTCCTAACATAATTTTGGAGGGTCTATCTAGAACGCTGACAGCGTAAAGAAAAATTTTGTTTGTCTTTGAAAATGGCTACCAACTTTTTTTGAATTGGCTACCACTTTGAAGAATTTAGAAGCCAAGTGGCTATCAGAAAAAAAAAAGTTAATTTCATGCCCTGAGACGCAGTGTTAGAAAATGGTATTCACACTGGACTCTGGATCAGAAAGTCCAGGTGTAACCCCTGACCAGGAGATTTGCTGGCTTAACAGTTGGCATGTTGGATTCTGCATTGAGAGGTGCAGGTTGAAGACCAGGCTGAGTCATTGTGTTGTGTTTTTGGACTCTGCTCTACAAAGTGCATGTCTCTCTACCCAGGAGTATATATGGGTACCAGGGTTCTGTCAGGAAAGCTTGGCAATACTGGAGGGGGAAAGGGGAATAACATTATTTTCACTGAAATATTATAAAGCAACAACTTAAATTACTTCATCAAGCTGTTCAGTAATGCTTTTTTATAAACTTAGGGAATCATTTTGTTCTGGGCCCAGTTGTATAAAGGGTAACAGATAACACATAAAGGGTAGCAGATAACGCTATCCAACGGACAAATCGCTGTCCAGGGGATAAGTGATAGCAAAATGTATAGTATTATCAACTGGATAGAGTGCTATCCAGTAAATGGTGTTATCCAACATTCAAAAACTGTTGCCTGATCAATAACTAGTTCTTTGTTCACATTTGTCATAGGAGCATGGCCACACTCCATATGTAGTACTGTTGTTAAAGTACTTAAACAAATGGAAAGCAGAGGTGAGTCCTTCTGAAATGAGCTTTTTAAAATGTTAGCAATATCAGAGTTATCAATCTCTATCAATGTAAGCTTTAAGTGTGGAATTAAGATAATTCTGACTTCTAGGCACAGTTTGAACAATAAAATTCCCTAGGTGATAAATCTACATGAATGTAAGCTTTAAGTGTAAATATAATTCTGACTTCTAGGCACAGTTTGATCAGTAAAACTCCTTAGATGATCTGTCCCAGGATATAATTATAGATAACATTATCATGACAATTCTCTTTATCCTTGTTTAAAAAACATCATCATGACAATTCTGCCTGTTAGAGTGGATTCTTGTACATCAGGTTGCAAAAAAAAACAACTTCCATTCAGTGGAGTCCTTTCTCTTATGGAACTCCTGTACCATATTTTTTTATTACCATTTTTTTTTTTTACGTCATCTCCAACTACTAAGAGAGAGAAGCACAGCAACATGAAGCCCATATGTTATCTGGAACTCACTTGAAGCATTTAGAAAGCTTATTCAAATTGTGTGAAGGTGGACATGGGTTCATCACAGAATGATTCCTTAGTCCATCTTTCTTTATCAAAATTTTTGGAAAAGTAAGTAAGTTATGGTACAACTACTGCCTTACATATGCACTAAACTTACAATTATATCTGTCTGAACTTGATCCATTTTCTCTACAGCATGAAGGCAGAGCTCCGCAAAATTACAAGGAAAAAGACATGTTTAAACAAACAATTAGGGGAGGTTAGTTAGTTGACGCTTGGTAAATTATGTTAAAGCTTAAATTCCATCTCTTTCAAGGCAGGGCACCAACCATGTACTGATGCTTTCTTTGAAGATTGTAATTAGTCTGTGACCATTTGAACTGTCTTTTTGTGGAAGAGCTACTGATTATTGGTGCTCCTTGTTTGGCAAGGACAAATTTTAGACATCTGCATCAGAGGCAGACTTTCTTCTTGGGGCTTTAAAGGGAATCCTAGAATGACACCGTAGGCCTGGCAATGTCCCTCTCTAATGTATTAAATTTGTATAGTTCTAACAGAGAAAGAGTGCCTTGTTAATTTACTTTTCCATCAGGAATTTTAGTCAACAAAGATGGCATCCCAGAAGAAGAGGAAAACTTTGATGAGGCAATAAAGGCTGTGAACACAGCTCTTGTTCCAACCAGGGTAAGGACGATCATTGTAAGTGATCATAGTTTCACTTTGTTGTGAAGTTTCCAAGTCTTAAGCTTTGCTCATATCTTTGCATCATTTACAAATTTTTTGTCGCTTTTCTTGCAGATACCTAGTGAAGTTTCACAAATATTTGCAGATGATTCTTGTTGTAACTTCACTGAATCTGTAAGTATACATGAATGATAAAGCATAGAATAAAACTAGCTAGGTACATCTACAGAATGCCCCCATTGTTAGCCTGTATTCTAAAATGATAATTTCCTCTGCCTTTAGCATAGTTCGTTTTGGATCTTGGCCAAAGCTGTTAAAGAATTTGTAGAAAATGAGGGCACAGGTAATTTTTGGTTGCTCAAAATGCTTTGAAAACTGTTGCTCTATCTACACCATGTATATTTTGTTTGTGTACTCTTTTTTCCAGACCTCAGATTCTTCATTTCATTATTTATTAGTTTGTTTTTGTTTTATAATACCTACTTATATTTGTTTACTCATTTTGATTCCTTCCTCGGTTCTTTTGCCATAGATTGCTCCTTCACCTATTTGTTAAGGTTCTTCTGTGCATTTGTTTATTTTTTTTCTTCATTTATTTTTTCTTTCTTCAATTGTTTAGGTTTTATTCTCTTTTTTTTTTGGTCTCTTTTTCGGCATTTCATCCAGTTGTTCACTTAAACAAATGATGTTACCTTCACTTCTTGAAGAAGCCTGGATGAAAAAAACAATCATTTCATTACATTTAGCCATCGTTGCTATTTCTTATTGTGAACACCACATAACAAGGATGAATGACATGTGTTTCCCTTAGGTGCTCTTCCATTAAGAGGATCCATCCCAGATATGACGGCAGATTCTAAAAGATATATTGAGCTTCAGAATATGTAAGTGTTATTGTAACCTTTGATCAGGTGAAGATACAGACACATGTTATATATACGTGTCCTCTTGGACTGGAACAAAATATCATTGTTTGAGCAGTCCTTCTTTCCCAGTGTGATGCCTTGCTTATCAAAGTCTTGGTTTTACCGGGAAAAAATTCTCTTACTCTTTTATGTTTTTTTTTTCTGATTCTTGTCAACTTGCTGTCATCTTGCTTGCTGTAGATACACTGGGAAAGGGAGAATAGCTTATATAAATCCAGGCTAACATAAAACATAACAGATTACTTTAGCATTTCAACTCATTAATGACATTTTTTTTTCCTTTTTAGTGCTCATTCTAATTAATTTGAGAAGTGATACATTTAGCAGTAATTCTGTTGTGCATGAACCGTGTATTAATTTTCAAGGCAGCCAAAACAAGCATTTGATTAGAAGTTGATTATGGTCTGTGTATGATTGCATTTTTCAAGATATCAAGAACAGGCAAGAAAAGATATTGCTGTAGTAACTCAAAGGGTGCATAGAATATTGTTTGACGTAGGAAAGGTGAGATGCCTGTGGATTAACCCTCATTTGTATTTTTTTTCCTTTCCTACTTTTATTAAATGTTCATGGAGGACTTTATTTGTTATGAGCAGGTTCCTTTTTTTAATGAAACTTGAATTGTTACATGGAGGGCAAGATCTGTATGTGTACTTGTGGATTTTTGATCTGTTAGTCTCGGCACTTCTGAGAACAATTGCACGTTTGTTTTTTGTTTTTTTTTTGTTGTTGTTTGCTTATCTACTTGACCCCTTGATTATTTTTCAGTCAACAGATAGCATTTCAGATTCGGAAATTAGGCTTTTCTGTAAGTAGAAGTAATTTGTAATGTTATCTTAAATCTTCAATCCAGATACCCTCAAGCCCAGAAAACTGAAGTGAAAATCATTGAAAGATTTGGAAGTTTTTTTAGCATCTATCTGCTCGGTAGCGATTTATCCTCTGAATAGTGCTATCAGTCCTTTGAACAACTGAGGCTAGTGTAGATCTGTGCAAAAGAAATCAACCAACGATAGATTTTTGAACAGAAAGGATATGTAATATATATCTTCATTTTAACGTGAACATTCTCTCTCTCCCAAGATTTTATATTTGACTTTAAGTGGTTTTTGTGGTATTTATGATTTTCTGTTTAAGTCTAATACACAGTTTTCTCCTTCAGGTAAAAATACAGCATTTTTGAGATTAATTCGGGGTAGATCCTTGGCTGAGGAGAGTGAACCTTCATTGGCCAAGGCGAATGAATTAGGTTTGTGTACTTCCCTCTCTATTCAAATGTAGGACCCCTACGTTTACATCGAGTATCGAAAAATAATCTGAGATTGTTTTCGCTTTGCTCCACTCCGCTCTATGATTGGTCCAGAAAACTCGCGCCATCCTTTCAACCAATCAGATCCAAAACTAAAACTAATCGCAACCCCGTGACTCGCACATTTTCCCGCGCTTTAAGCAGTTTGCGTCTTTTTTCTTTGTTATCTCATCGGCTCCATGTGATATTTTCCTTTCTTCTGATTGGCTGTGATTTCTCTGGTTTTGGTCTTAAAACAGTCACTCTGATGAAGGGCTAACGCTCGAAACGCTAGCTTTTTTACTCTTTATGGTGGCCAATTTACGTTTTCAACTCAGTTGTTTACACTAAATTACCAGCTATACTCTCCTACCGACGCAGCACCACGGTTTCTTTAGAAACTTAACTCCCTTAAAACACTCAGTCGAGCGCTCTTCATTGGAGTGAGCTACTTTCTATCGCCGTATTCGTACACTATACGCGTAATTATTCTCTGTTAAATTGTTTTTTCCTCCTTTTCAGCCGGTTACCTTGAAGATCCGGACAGCGACGTTGTGTTCTATATCTTATTAAAAGCAGTGGATAGGTTTTACTCGCAGTATCATAGGTATCCAGGTAAACAGACAAATTTCAGTTTTCCGAATTTGAATTATCTGTTTTCAATTTTATTGCTTATTTTTATTTGGCTTGTATCTCACTTTTAGCGAGGAATTTAAAGAAAAATGGTATCAGGTTTGCTAGCAAGCTAATTAAATAACTTTGTGGCAACTTTTCTTCAGGTAATTTTGAAGATCAAGTCGAGGCAGATGTTGTGAAGTTAAAGGTATGTTGGTTTTGTAGGAGTTGATTCAGTTCGTAGCCTGAAAATCTGATTCGACTGGCTATTTTATCAGCCTACGGCGGGATCCGAAGATCTGAAAAAAAAAAAAAAACACCTTTCTCTATTTCTTTACCGAGCTCAAAAACTTACCATCTCTCTTATTTCTATCTACAAACATTACGCTATCGACATTGCTGATCCTAGCAGTGTGCAGGACACGTGTCATATGAACTTCGTTGACGAGTATTTTCTTAATATTCGGACAGTATATCAATTTACATATATTTCCTCAGTGAAAATTATTGCCTCATAGCACAGCTATCTAAATTGTGTCAATACCACATGAACGAGTATGTGTATTACAATTAGAAAAGTACTTTCTTCTTCTATTGATGCCAGCACAGTTAAACTGATTCATTTCTAATGAATTCTGTTATATTCAGTGTTGTCTTGGCTCTCTACTCCAAGAATGGTCGGTGAATGCGGGCGTAAAGGAGGAATACGTTCACGAAATGTGAGTACAAGGAGTTGACCTTATTTGAGCAAAACTTCGCAGTATTTTTTTGTATTAAAAAGAGCCGTTTGGGAATGTTTCTCTTCTCATTCCCGTTTGACGAACAAAACTCTTCTCGGTTAGTTTTTTATTATTGTTTTAAGTTGGGTGGTAAGGCCTTTGCATTGCGTGACGTCACGTTGCTTGAAGCGAAGACTCGCGTTTGTTGAATTTCGGACTCACGATTAGTGTGCGAACTAACCGTCGATCGGCTAATAAAGTTTGTTGTCGGTATTTTTCTTCTACAAATTACAGTCGTTAAAAACGTTGAGTTGAAAACCGTTGATACTAGAATCAACAATCGGCCCAAAATTGAGCGCAGATGGTTCAGCAGCACTCAGAAACCTGAGAACATACGTTGTAAGATGGTGCCTTGAAGTAACCTTTTCGCCTTGTTTCAGGTGTCGATACGGAGCCAGCGAATTGCACTCTGTCGCCGCTTTCATAGGAGGTAAGGCCAATATTTTGCCTGTACTACTCAACTGGGCACACCAAGTGATCCAAGTGATGATATCTGGGCGCGTTGGTCAGCCAAGCCACCGTACCGTTTATTTAACACCAACTGCGATATGCTTTTGAAAGTATCTTATGATTGTTAAAAAAAAGCTAAATGCACCAAAGCCGGACACGAAAACCCCTGAAAACCAACAGGTGGAAAAAACAGGGAATGTGTACCTCCAACTAAGGCAGTGGTGCCACCCTCGCGGTTTTAGGGCATTCTATGATCTTACGAATAACATGATAAACACAAGTAGATAACTGATAGATAAAGAAGTATACGAGTATAGCTCCTAGTAAAACCTGATGTGAACGTGGCAATATTTCAGGGAAAAAATTAAATAATGAGTGAAATAAATAAATAAATAGATTGAAACGAAACCTAACAACTCTACACGGCGAAGGCTGACCGCAGAATTCCTCGCCCTGCCAACGGCCTCAAAGTAAAAAATACGATCCCATAACTCTCCCTGCACCTCGCACCCGCCTTCATTCCTCTGGTGCGTACCGGCAAGATATTAATTTATGCCAATAAGGATTATCATAAATTTCAGTTGGTGTTGGTTCAATTCCTTCTGGATTTTGATTTGAATTTTGTGTTCCGCCCGTATGGGAGTCGTCCGCGAACATTTTCTGTTCCAGGATGCTAAAGTTAATGTCCAAGGACAAATATCCGTTCATATTTTCGCGCAAAATAGAGGCTATTGTGTTTATTAACGTTCAAATATTTTGCAAGGCGCGTGAAAAAATGTTCGGTGAATATCGCTTGGGTAATATACTCGGATATCACTAAGTTTTAACTGGGGGTATTCGATCACGTTGCTGCATTTAGACCAATCGCGCGCGGGCGAAACTATTTGATCGATCGTAATGAGGAGTAGTCATTAAGTATCTGTACGTTTCCTTTTTCTTCATCAGGTGCAGCAGCTCAAGAAATTGTCAAACTTGTGACCCGTCAGTTTGTACCCTTCGATAATACATATATCTACAACGGGATCACAGGTTCCTCGACAACTTTGAAACTCTGAGCCAACTCCGACAGACATGTGTCGTTCAACGGACACGTGTCTCTCTAGTTTGATTCCTTTGGTAGAAAAGTAGATAGCGACGCTCTTTTGTCTTTGGCTTTGGTCGTTATTGTTTCTAATCTCACTAAACACCAAAATGCAACTTCGCACGACTTTCTTCCTTCTTCTTCGAGAAGAGGAAGTTATGAAATATAAAATGTTCCAAGAATGAGACGTGTATCAAGTTAGGGAAAAAGCCTTAAGCTCTTTTTAAATAAATTTGTACATAGACAAAGAGTAAGTGAAAGCACTAATCCCTAATAAAATGTTCTACAGATAATATTACCGATGTGGTCGGCGCTTTCCTTATTTCATGGCACTTAACAATAATTTTTTTCCAGATTCTTTAGCTTTTTGCTTTCTTCCATCCTTACTGCCTCTTGAGATATACACACCACAACTTTAACACCGCTTCCTTTCCCCACTGACTATTGAGATATATACACCGCAACTATAACACTACTTTCTTTCCTTACTGACTCTTGAGATATATACACCGCAACTTTAACACTGCTTCCTTTCCTTACTGATTCTTGAAATATATACACCGCAACTTTAACACTACTTCCTTTCCTGACTGACTCTTGAGATATATACACCGCAACTTTAACACTGCTTCCTTTTCTTACTGACCATTGAGATATATACACCGCAACTTTAACACTGCTTTCTTTGATTACTGACTCTTGAGATATATACACCGCAACTTTAACACTGCTTCCTTCCTTACTGACTCTTGAGAAATATACACCGCAACTTTAACACTGCTTCCTTTTCTTACTGACCATTGAGATATATACACCGCAACTTTAACACTGCTTCATTTCCTTACTGACCCTTGAGATATATACACCGCAACTTTAACACTGCTTCCTTTCCTTACTGACTCTTGAGATATATACACCGCAACTTTAACACTGCTTCCTTCGTTACTGACTCTTGAGATATATACTCCGCAACTTAAACACTGCTACTTTCCTTACTCACCATTGAGATATATACACCGCAACTTTAACACTGCTTCCTTCCTTACTGACCATTGAGATATATACACCGCAACTTTAACACTGCTTCCTTTTCTTACTGACCATTGAGATATATACACCGCAACTTTAACACTGCTTCATTTCCTTACTGACTCTTGGGATATACACACCGCAACTTTAACCCTGCTTCCTTCGTTACTGACTCTTGAGATATATACTCCGCAACTTTAACACTGCTACCTTTCCTTACTGACCATTGAGATATATACACCGCAACTTTAACACTGCTTCCTTCCTTACTCACCATTGAGATATATACACCGCAACTTTAACACTGCTTCTTTCTTTACTGACTCTTGAGATATATACACCGCAACTTTAACACTGCTTCCTTCCTTACTCACCATTGAGATATATACACCGCAACTTTAACACTGCTTCTTTCTTTACTGACTCTTGAGATATATACACCGCAACTTTAACACTGCTTCCTTTCCTTACTGACTCTTGAGATATATACACCGCAACTTTAACACTGCTCAATTCCTTACTGACCATTGAGATATACACACCGTAACTTTAACACTGCTTCCTTTCCTTACTTACTCTTGAGATGTATACACCGCAAATTTAGCACTGCTTCCTTTCCCTACTGACCATTGAGATATACACACTGTAACTTTAACACTACTTCCTTTTCTTACTGACCATTGAGATATACACACCGCAACTTTAACCCTGCTTCCTTCCTTACTGACTCTTGAGATATATACACCGCAACTTTAACACTGCTTCCTTTCCAGACTGAGTCTTGAGATATATACACGGCAACTTTAACACTGCTTCCTTCCCTTACTGACTCTTGAGATATATACACGGCAACTTTAACACTGCTTCCTTTCCAGACTGAGTCTTGAGATATGTACACCGCAACTTTAACACTGCTTCCTTCCCTTACTGACTCTTGAGATGTATACACCGCAACTTTAGCACTGCTTCCTTTCCCTACTGACCATTGAGATATACACACTGCAACTTTAACACTGCTTCCTTTTCTTACTGACTCTTGAGATATATACACCGCAACTTTAACACTGTTTCCCTCCTTACTGACCATTGAGATATACACACGGCAACTTTAACACTGCCTCCTTCCTTACTGACCATTGAGATATATACACCGTAACTTTAACACTGCTTCATTTCCTTACTAACTCTTGAGATATACACACCGCAACTTTAACCCTGCTTCCTTCCTTACTGACTCTTGAGATATAAACACCGCAACTTTAACACTGCTTCCTTTTCTTACTGACTCTTGAGATATATACACCACAACTTTAACACTGCTCAATTCCTTACTGACCATTGAGATATACACACCGCAACTTTAACACTGCTTCCTTCCTTACTGACTCTTGAGATATATACACTGCAACTTTAACACTGCTTCCTTTTTTTACTAATTCTTGAGATATATACACTGCAACTTTAACACTGCTTCGTTTCCTTATTGACTCTTGAGATATATACACCGCAACTTTAACACTGCTGCATTTCCTTACTGACTCTTGAGATATACACACCGCAACTTTAACCCTGCTTCCTTCCTTACTGACTCTTGAGATATATACACCGCTACTTTAACACTGCTTCCTTTTCTTACTGACTCTTGAGATATATACTCCGCAACTTTAACACTGCTCAATTCCTTACTGACCATTGAGATACACACACCGCAACTTTAACACTGCTTCCTTTCCTTACTGACTCTTGAGATATATACACCGCAACTTTAACACTGCTTCATTTCCTTACTGACTCTTGAGATATACACACCGCAACTTTAACCCTGTTTTCTTCCTTACTGACGCTTGAGATATATATGCAACTCTTGAGATATTTAACACTGCAACTTTAACACCCTTTCCTTATTGACTCTTGAGACATATACACCGCAACTTTAACACTGCTTCATTTCCTTACTGACTCTTGAGATATACACACCGCAACTTTTACACTGCTTCCTTCCTTACTGAGTCTTGAGATATATACACCGCAACTTTAACACTGCTTCCTTCCTTACTGACCCTTGAGATATATACACCGCAACTTTAACACTGCTTCCTTTCCTTATTGACTCTTGAGACATATACACCGCAACTTTAACACTGCTTCCTTCCTTACTGACTCTTGAGATATATACACCGCAACTTTAACACTGCTTCCTTCTTTACTGACTCTTGAGATATATACACGGCAACTTTAACACTGCTTCCTTTTCTTACTGACTCTTGAGATATATACACCGCAACTTTAACACTGCTTCCTTTCCTGACTGAGTCTTGAGATATATACACCGCAACTTTAACACTGCTTCCTTTCCTGACTGACTCTTGAGATATATACACCGCAACTTTAACACTGCTTCCTTTCCTTACTGACTCTTGAGATATATACACTGCAACTTTAACACTGCTTCCTTTTCTTACTGACTCTTGAGATATATACACGGCAACTATAACACTGCTTCCTTTCCTTATTGACTCTTGAGATATACACACCGCAACTTTAACACTGCTCAATTCCTTACTGACCATTGAGATATACACACAGCAAATTTAACACTGCTTCCTTCCTACTGACTCTAGAGATATATACACTGCAACTTTAACACTGCTTCCTTTTCTAACTGACTCTTGAGATATATACACCGCAACTTTAACACTGCTTCCATTTCCTTACTGACTCTTGAGATATACACACCGCAACTTTAACCCTGCTTCCTTCCTTACTGACTCTTGAGATATATACACCGCTACTTTAACACTGCTTCCTTTTCTTACTGACTCTTGAGATATATACTCCGCAACTTTAATACTGCTCAATTCCTTACTGACCATTGAGATTTACACACCGCAACTTTAACACTGCTTCCTTTCCTTCCTGACTCTTGATATATATACACCGCAACTTTAACACTGCTTCATTTCCTTACTGACTCTTGAGATATAAACACCGCAACTTTAACACTGCTTCCTTTCCTTACTGACTCTTGAGATATATACACTGCAACTTTAACACTGCTTCCCTTCCTTACTGACTCTTGAGATATATACACCGCAACTTTAACACTGCTTCCTTTCCTTACTGACTCTTGAGATATATACACCGCAACTTTAACACTGCTTCCTTCGTTACTGACTCTTGAGATATATACTCCGCAACTTTAATACTGCTCAATTCCTTACTGACCATTGAGATTTACACACCGCAACTTTAACACTGCTTCCTTTCCTTCCTGACTCTTGATATATATACACCGCAACTTTAACACTGCTTCATTTCCTTACTGACTCTTGAGATATAAACACCGCAACTTTAACACTGCTTCCTTTCCTTACTGACTCTTGAGATATATACACTGCAACTTTAACACTGCTTCCCTTCCTTACTGACTCTTGAGATATATACCCCGCAACTTTAACACTGCTTCCTTCCTTACTGACCATTGACATATACACACCGCAACTTTAACACTGCTTCCTTCCTTACTGACCATTGAGATATATACACAACTTTAAACTTTAACACTGCGTTAACACTGCTTTTAACACTTTCTTTTACTGACTCTTGAGATATATACACTGCAACTTTAACACTGCTTCCTTTTTTACTGACTCTGACTTTAACACTGCTCAATTCCTTACTGAACATTGAGATATACACACCGCAACTTTAACACTGCTTCCTTTTCTTACTGACTCTTGAGATATATACACCGCAACTTTAACACTGCTTCCTTTCCTTACTGACTCTTGAGATATATACACCGCAACTTTAACACTGCTTCCTTTCCTTACTGACTCTTGAGATATATACACCGCAACTTTAACACTGCTCAATTCCTTACTGACCATTGAGATATACACACCGCAACTTTAACACTGCTTCCTTCCTTACTGACTCTTGAGATATATACACCGCAACTTTAACACTGCTTCCTTCCTTACTGACCATTGAGATATATACACCGCAACTTTAACACTGCTTCCTTTCCTTACTGACCATTGAGATATATACACCACAACTTTAACACTGCTTCCTTTTCTTACTGACTCTTGAGATATATACACCGCAACTTTAACACTGCTTCCTTCCTTA